TATTTTTATTTATTTTTATTTATTTTTATTTATTTTTATTTATTTTTATTTATTTTTATTTATTTTTATTTATTTTTATTTATTTTTATTAAAAATAACCGTTCCGTTTTTTTTAACAATAATAATATGTGACAATTTTATGACATTCGTAAACTCGGGCTATTGTGGTGCCCCGCAGGGGTGCCCTCATGTATAATATGATCGACAACTTAGTTATCTCTACTTTAAGTTAGGAGAGCAAACTTAGGTACCTGACTCAAACGGCAATTGGTGGGCTATGTCGTACAATAACGGTGCAGCTGGTGACGCGTACGTTAGGGCTAATAGCAGCCATTCTAACTGACTGACAGCACGGGTGTGCCTGGCTCCTTTGACTTATTGTGGATGTTGAAAGCCTAGAGACTAAATGCCGAAATAACAATAAACGAGTATTCGTTATTAAAAGCGCAGCTGAGATATTGAAAGGGTCGCGAACGTCTCTAGGTATGGTTGAACTCTGACACAACTACGTCTGGTTTCTGGCGCATTTGCCGAAATAAGGCATGCGGATATAATTCAGACGGCAGGATTTTGATGTGTTATGGGGTACCTCTTAAATCTAATAGGATGGTAATGCGTATCTAAAGGGATAAACGACCGCACCACGGAGTCGGTAGGCGCTTCGGGTGAAGCGGGTAGATCGACGACCGGACCGGTACCTTAACGGGGAATAGAATGGTCTCGTCGTATTGTAATTATCTGGTGTAACTTGACCCTCGTGGTCAGCCCTGACAGGACGAACTTAATAGTAGCATCAGGGACACAACAGGAGAAAGAAAAAACAGTAAAAAGCGATCTAACATGATCAGCCGACGCATCATATACTAGTTGCATAGTCGTGAGCGAATCCTCGAGCTCGCGTGACGCCCATCGCGGAGCTATCTCTTTCGGATAGAGGGCTACCGATATATTAGTACCTAAAAGAGTCAGGGAAAACTGCAATACCCCAAGGGCGTATAAATTAAAACTGTTTACTCCGGCGTATTCCCATCCACGGCATCGATGGTACCGTAGTGAAGAATATGCTGGCTGTTTTCTAAAGGTATTTCCACCGGATAACAAGGAGCTGTACTACGTCGTACACGGGTATGTGGGTTGTACTTCTTTCTGTACGTGAGGTGAGATCAAAAGGATTGATCATCGGCATGGGTTATCCTAGCATCGACTTTCACATGGCGCTAGTATTCTAAAAGTCGATCGAGCCCTGCAAGGAGGCGACGCCTATCGCTCAGGTGCCTACCACTATGGCCGTGCAGATGCAAACGGCCTTCGGCTTTCGGCCGTCGAGGTGTTGTCATTATGCGTTCTGTCGGCTTGGCCTGAGATGGAGGTTGGCTGTGGTGGATGCATAATGCTTTGCAGATTCGAGCACCCGGGACTCTGGAAACAGACTTGGCAATGAAACTTGTAAGTTCAAGGTCGTATATTTCACCACCAAACAATGACAAACGTCAATGCGGGCCAAGCTCATCAATGGGTGTACGTAGGCTTGGCTCTGGGGACTGTCGCGCACGAAAGGCGCTTGGCATATGTGCAATGTCACGAGAAGTTGATTACCTAGGTAGGGATGGTGTGCTTGGGTATGATAATCTAGGCTTGTCTAGAGGTGGTTAATTATTTAAGACGTAGATAAAAAGCTTAAAAGTCAAGTGACGCTGACTGCAGTTGTAGCTACCTCTTCTGTAGTCCGATGCTATACTTACTACCTACCTCTTATTACACCTACGACGTCACCGGTAGTAACCCGCACTAGACATGACATGATAGCGGCGAGTAAAGCACGAAGGTTACCACTTGGAGATCGGTACCTTACTTGCAGGCGCTTTACCTCCACTTGTAGCTTCCATTCGTTCTACAACGGTCTAGGTTAGCTAGAAAGTCCCCCCCAAGATGTTAGTTTACCTGTTAGCCATAGGTAATTCGCTAAGGCGTTTAGGGGGGAACCAACGGCCTTAAGGGCTAGAACCCCACTATAAACCATGCCGAAAGCGCCCCTCTGGCTCCTAATCGGCTCCCAATCGAGTCCCCTTGGCCCCTGTAAAATTCTAAACCCCTCGGCTCTCATGGCTTCATCCTACTGGATTAAGATGGACCCGGGTTCTTGTGACCCTCGCCATTGGCCTCGTTGGTCTTGCGCCTGAAGCGTGATTGCCCGAATCAACGTCGAGGCCATTCATGTCATGTTATTCATTCCTTCCTTTTCCAGTACTCAGAACGGGAAAAAAACAAAGGAAGGAGGAGCGTTGAGGATAAAGTTGGGCCAACGTTGGAGGAATTTATTTTAGTAGAAAACATTTGAAATTTGTACTTTGGCAACAATTTTTTTGAGCTTTACCTTAGCTTGAAAGCTTGACCCACGTCTACGTTCAACACACACCTCAACTCAAGTCTCGTTCTGCCGCGATCGCAACCGAGACTTTGTCTTGTTTGGATAAGGAGGAAAGGTAATCAATCTAGTACCTGATTGTGTGCGGTCTTGGATCACACGTGGACGCCGACATCTCTTCGGTCCGGCAAGATTTCCTCTTTGTCGATCGCGATACGCACCCCCCAAATCTTGCCCGTCATTCCCAGACGCCCTCTCAGCAGTGTTCGTCGCCGACCAGCAGCCTCTCTTCGGAACCCCTTGAACAAATCATCTCTTGGTCCTGCACAAAGCCGCCGGCAGCTAACTCGATTGTCCGCGAACTACATGTCCATTGCGTAACCCGAGGACCCAATGGGAGCCTCTCACATACACCAGTCCCGATAACATCTCAAGTAGGTAGGACGCAGTCATGGAAAGCAATGGCAGCCACGCCAAGGACAAGAGGCCCGACAGCGACGCCAGGTCTAAGGACGACACCCCTACGACCTCAACCACCACCACACCCCCTGACAATACCAATAAGAGCCCCAAGAAGAGGCGCAAGGTAAACCATGGTATGCCGTACCATTCTTCTAAATATTCCAATATTACCCTAACTCACCTCGATGCCGTCTTCGTCGTATCTATCTGTCCTGTGGGCTAATTTTGGTCGCGCGTTCCTACAGCTTGTGTATACTGCCGTCGATCTGTAAGTCCTCATTTAGCAAGTTTGTCAGACGCTCTAATTCATTGGTTCCACGTCTGCGTATCTACGCATGTAGAAATGCTGGCGCCCCTCCCCCCTTGTTTATACGGATGGGTTATTTTTTTCCCAACTGCAACCGCCTAGGTTGCTGATGTCACGGGCGATGCGCCCGAGTCTTTTCTAGTATTTGTGCGTGCGTATCTGTGCGCGTGCGCGCGTTCGTGCGTGTTGTTGGGCTTCACAAAGTACTTGGCTAATACCAATATTTCCGGGCTTATAGCATATGACTTGCGATCTCGTATGTAAGATCTGTTCCTACTTTTCTGTGCCTATGGCTTGGGGGCGTTGTCCAGGTTTGCATGAGCCAAGATTAACCGGGGCCTTACCCCTATTGAACAGGAGAGACCATGCACGAGATGTATCAAGCGAAATATTGGCCATCTATGCCATGATGAGCCCCGGGATCCGGATTCAAAGAAGCTCAAAGGCACCCCCGGTGCGGCTGGACACGAAGAGTCGGAGATCCAGCCCGAGCTACCGCAGAATTCAATAGATCAGAGCGCCGCTGCTATGGCACCACCGTCATTCGACGGAACTGGAGCAGCTCAAAGGCCTAAGCAAGGTTTTGGTGCAGCTGCACTAGGTCAGGCAAACCCCCTACAGCTTGTGTCACCGAATCCGGTCTCCAGTATGCAGGCCAATGGCTCTGGCAGCAATATGAACCAATGTAGGTTTTGTAAAACCCTTGTGAACGTCGTGCTGGCTAGGGGCAAAAAAAGCTGAATTGATCTCGTAGTCGGTGGGTTCTCTGATGCCTGGCTATCCGCCCAAAATCAATTCCACGATATGCATCACTACCATCCTCAATATATGCTTGCCCCAGAAGTCTCCCACGAATTTAATCTGCTCAATGATTTTCTGAACACTAGCCTCCTCGATGACGCGGGGAACCTGCCGGACGACCAGAATCTGCTGTTCAGGAATAACCAGTCGCAACCTAATCAGTCCGAAATGGCGAGCTTCGTGGCTGGCAACAATAGCAACATTCTATCTACGAATTCGATGCAGGCTGGCTCCATGCCTCCGCCAAGCACGGAACAGGCCGGCTCCAGTGCCATCTCAGCAGACAAGACGCGTGAATTCTATCTCCAAGCGGCGGATCCATCAGGCAACGACACGCCAGAGGCGCGCATGCATAGTGTGATGAAGGCCAAATACAATGCGGGCCTTCTAAAGCCGTTCAATTACATCAAAGGCTACGCTCGGTTGTCGTCGTACATGGATAGTCATATTGCTCCCGCGTCGAAGCAGAAGATCCTACGACAGCTGGATCGCTTTCGACCCAAGTTCCGAGAGAAGGTGCAGGGACTTACAGATATCGAACTTGTCTACGTAGAGATGTGGTTCGAGAAAACCCTGCTAGAATATGACCGAGTCTTCGCAGCTATGGCGGTTCCGGCTTGCTGCTGGAGACGGACCGGGGAGATCTTCAGGGGCAACAAGGAGATGGCCGAACTTATCCATGTTCCGGTAGATAAGCTACGAGACGTATGCATTATTCTAATAACGACCGAGAAGTCTGCTAATCAACTCTACGTATAGGGTAAAATTTCGCTGCACGAAATACTGACAGAAGAGTCGCTCGTACGATACTGGGAAGAATTTGGCACTATCGCGTTCGACGCAGCGCACGACACGCTTCTAACGGCGTGTGCTTTGAAGACCCCAGATGACCGATCGAACGATCCGATCATTAACTGCTGTTTTTCATTTATGATACGTAGGGACGATCACAAGATGTGAGTAGCGAGCCTCGGCCTAGGCAAAGTAGTTTAGATGCACGAATACCGCTAACCACCATTTCTACTCATACAGACCCAGCCTCATCGTTGGCAATTTCCTTCCGCATGACCCTTCGCATTCTTAGAAGCATATCATATCTCTATAGGATATTAGTCGGTATTCGAATAACTTCTATTTGGGCATCAAGCAGGTATTATTTTCGCATTAACTACCTCTTATACGTTATATCAATGGCATAGTGATGGGTAATTTACAAACGTTGTTGGCTATTTCAAGATATGATAGATGCATTCTTATCCAAGAGCTTCAGGGGCCACGTCATGTCTAGTAGCGGTACTTACTATTGGTAGAGGTATTATGTTTCGGGGCACTAAGAAGGAGAGACGGAAGCAGCGATGGTATCCCACTAGGTTTGGAAGGTGCTATTGGATCTTTCTGCTACGACTTCCCCGGATTGGAAAGTAAAGTACAACACTACCTTTTCGTACCTGACCATAGACTTTTGGAGCAAAGACAAATAGAATTCCACTAAATAGCTTTCATACTTTTTTTTTTCCACCTCTACCAATCGACTCAAGACCTCCCGTTTTTTTTCGATGGTGATACCCCTTTAGCAAACCCCCTAGGCAAGCTATCGAGATCCGAAGCTCTTTCGAGGTGGCCTTTTCTCGTCGCTAACCGATCTAACCGTCGCTTACGCACTGATCCGAATGTAGTCATCGTCACCATCTTCCTTAACCAGCCCCCAAGAGGGTTCAGTAGGTAGTATCTATACCCACCAAGACTGCATCAAACAAAGCCACATTGCAGCACATCTCAATATATTGGTCGGCCTCTCTATATCGGACCTTCGGGTTCCCGGTGTGTCAGCATGGATACCTCCGCGAATTCGTCACATTCTGCCCGAGATAAGCGTATCAAGTCTATCATATGTCCGTATTCTCCGTGCCGTTTAGGGACGTATACTGACTCCCTAAGCTTTCTGTCATGATCTCCAGAAGCAGTTGCCTAGCAAGAATGATGAAAAAGCGCTGAATAGTCAAGTTGACGAGTTAGAGAATCAGATCAACGCTATCAAGTCCTACTCTCTTAAATCTCCCGGCTCGCATCGTCATGCACAGCTAGATAGCGCCGGCACAGATCTTTGGAACTGGTGTGTTCAGATTAAACGCGAAGACGGGAGTGAAGTATCATCAGCGAGAAAGAGGCTCCTAACTTTCTGCCGGGTATTCTCGTTCCTAATCCTGGCGCTGGCGCAATGGGGTGATCATAACACCCCGGGTGATCTCCTCCGCTTGGAAAAATTGGCAATCAAAACCGGCAGATCTTGTATTGGTATATTGCATCTCTGTCCCACCACAGTTGCAGAGCTGCATGTTTTACTGACACTGGCGTAGTGGACGGTGAGCTCAAGTTTGCGCTCATGGTTCTGCAGAAGGCCGCGGAATATAACGGGTTGTTGCAGAATCTGCAGGCGAAGCTGCCAGACGAGGAGTCTCGCGCCTGCAGGAAGCTAGAGGCAGAGTATTTTACACTTCGTATAGTTCTGGTAAGCCGCATATTACTATTTACCCCTCGTTCAGCTGCTGACAACCCTAGAAGGCCTGGAAAGAAGACCGCCTTGACGTGGCGGACCATCTATACGAAAAGGTACAAGACTGCAAACATACTATAAACCCAGCATCGGCAGAGAATTTTGCCGACTCATTTTTTGAGATTGGTAAAGACTTAACAGCGAAGAAGAACTTCTCGCTGGCAGTAAAGTGGTTAGAACGGGCTTACGAATTCATCAACAGCCAAGACCTCGAACAGCTACCAAGAGAGGTTATCGAGTTGAGGCTAGCAGTGTCCCAGGCGCTCATTCGCGCATATTTGAATTTAAATACGACCGAAGGCTTCAAAAAGGCTGAAAATCATGTCTGTTACGTTGAATCCGAGCTCGGTGACAAGCTTGTTGTCCTTCTACTTAGGCTGGAACTCCTACTCAGCTCACCAGCCGAAGTATTCGACAGCAATGCATATGCCGGTATCCTTCGGCGGATGATCAGGAGCCCTGAAGTCTCAGAATCAAGCTTCAATCTTATGATACACCATATACGTAAGCTAGACGATAAGAGTCCGAGCCTGGCCTCCTCCGTTCTCGGCGAATTTATAACATTGAGAGTATTGCCCACCCAACAGGACACCTGGGTGGAACGGGCCATCGTGCTTTACACGCAGATGGCAACAACACATCGGGACACTCACGAAACAATACAAGAACTCGGAACCATATTTGATAATGTCGAGGCCAAACTAAAAAACTCATTGTCAGCTGCTGCTGTTCTCGCCATACAAATAGTCAGCCAGCCACCAAACCTATCTTCATCCCTTTCGGACGTGCGCTAATTATTAATAGCTCATATGGAAAAGGGTTGATGCCTCATTCAGTCAAGGAGAGCTAGATATTACAGAGAAATGGTGCCACGTAGCCATGCATCCAGCTCTTCGTAATTCGGGTCCGGCGAATACAGCAAAGATCACTAGGTAGGCTCTAACAGCCTAGGTGTGTAATAATATGTTCTGTCTGACGAAAACAGGAAATTGGTGTGCTGCGCCCTTCAAAGAAACAACTTGGACAATGCCGCAGAGATCTTCCAATCTATGAGTGACTCAACCAAACTTGAGCCAATGACGTTATACCTCGCGTATAAATTAGCTCTGAGGTGCGGAGATCGCGGAATGGCCTCTGACTGTTTAAGACACATTAGCGAAGCCTCGTCAAAAGATCCTCAGTACCTGTACGCGTGTTGCATAGACGCGCAGGAAGCGGAAGACAAAATGTGTGCGATCGAGGCGTTGAAGCATTTGATACAGAAGTCCGAATACAGCTCTTCGGATGCTGTTCATCTGCCGGCGTTGCTTCGGGTTGTCATACGCCTCGAGACATCACTTATGAACGAAAAAGACCACAAGGATTCTGACCGTAGCTTGTTAATAGATGATCTCTGCCAAGTCTTCGAAGGGGGTAAGTTTCTCACGCATGGATCTATCGGGTTATACTAAATTGCTCAGTCGTACCAGCCATACAGCGAGACCCGCGGAATAGTAACGGCGATAAAATATTTACGGTAGAAGAACTAGATTGGTTTGGTAAAAACGCCTATAATCTAGGTGTCAAAAACATCAATATTTGGCAGCCTCGGCAAAGTATTCGCATCTTTCGGTGCTGCCTTTCAATCATCTCTCAATATCCTCAGGACATACCAATTCAAGCAGCTGAGGATCTATCACTACGCGCGATGTTCTGTCATTTTCTAATGGCAACGGTGCACATCGCCCTAGCCCGATCTGAAGACAGCATCGAAACGCAGCTCCAAGACTATCTCTTGATGCGCAATCATGTCAAGGGTTTTGACGAAGAACTAGAGGCTCGACTAAACGGCCTAGATGAAGTGTCCAAGAACGACCTACGAATGAAGCTTTCAACCCTTCTCGTCTTCGATTTTGAAGGGGCTATCTGTCTCAAGTCATAGGATGACTTGTCAGAGATCTTATTAAAAGCTAAAACTTGCAATAATCTATCCATATTTCAAGCGATGGCAGATTGTGTCCTCCGAGCCGAGTCTGTCCCTGGACAAGGTACGGATTTGCTGCGGCGGAGGCATTGCTTTTTCTAACGGACGGTAGTACTATATTCTACGCTGCGCAAGATTATAAACCAGATATTTTCGCTTGAACATTTCGATAACGAGAAGCTCGCGAAATACCTGCGATGTTTACTCAGGGCTACTCTCGCTTCAGAACCGGAATATCCCCTGAAGATTATGGAGGACATCTGTAGGCTTGTGAAGCAATGCGCAGGCGTACGTTCTCCTTTCGGTCACAGTGTTACAGAAGGTAAGTGATTTTACTAAACATGGTCATAGAGCGAAAACCCCATTCCGTCTCTCGAGGTTGAATGGTTCACAACGACAGCATTCAACCACGGTGTCGACCTATACGGGATCAATGAAGATGAGCTCAGTAAGCAATGGATCGCGCATGCGCTCACATTGGCACATTACCATGAAGATGGTGGCGACCTGGAGCGAGAGCTTCAGAAGAGGCAAATCAGTCTCAAATGGGATTCATGATGCTTCATAATATTCGTTGCCAGATCCCGCAGCTAGCTAGCTATGTCCCTGGCTTCCCGTAATTAATTCCACGATGGGCAGCACCAAGAAGCCCATGTAAAGTTCCATTATTCCTTGGACGTAAATATGTTCATAGCATTCAGCGTGCTAGGAGGTAGGTAGCTTTAACGGCTGATAGAATCTAGCTAAGGCAACTTATTAAAATGCAAGTTTCAAAAAATGAAAACAGGCAAATATCTATCTAGATTAGTTAACTTTAGACATTGGGATCCTATGCAGTGACGATTCATATTTCTACCTGGCTATAGAAGCTTGTAAACTTTTGATATAATGATAATGCCGTTTCTGTATAGAGATGTGGCGTAAATCAATCGCTCAAATATAATCGATACTTGCCGATCGCTCTGCATAATGCTGCCATTGTTCTTGATATAACCAATTTTTCTTTTCTTTTTCTTCTAGGACCGTACAAGTGCACATATTTAAAAAGTACTACATCACGATAGTCAAAGGAGCGTAGTCATGACGTCTTCGATACGGTTGACCTTAAGCCATGGCTTAAGAGTATTTCGCATCACCAACAAGGGGCAAAATGCCCGTCGCATTTATATTTCGATGCCATTGATATCGAGGTTACCGTCTAGATTCTCAGGAGATTAGTTTGGCACGGCTACAATGGTGAAGGACAAGCAGACTGTTATCGAGTAAGTCTTTGGTCTTTGCTGGGACCTTCGTGGTACTGATAATGGATTTCACTGCCAGGGAGTTCAACGACCTCGTCAACATGTCGGCCTCGGACCTCGAGACCTGGCTCAAAGAGGAGTCATCAGAGTCAGCGGGCTGGGGCAAGGATGACGGCTCGGGGGAGACAATCGGGCACGAGAGGTATTCCTTCTCTCATACTCCTTTGCCGCCATCATAACATCCTGTCTTCGTTTCCTTTCGCGTTCGACCCGCCTCACGCAGACGTATAAACCTACCTTGGGAAATCACATCTGACTGAAAGAAAGCGGGCGCAAGATCATGGAGATCCTAAAGAAGAATCCAGATAAGGACTCGCAGAAATACGAACAGGACGACATGGACCACATGCGTCGCGTCGTCGCGTATTGTAAGCGGCATCTTGCGCAGGAGGACAGGGCGAAACGGGACCCGGGGAGTAAGAGTGCGAGGAGCTTGAAGAATTGGGGACATGATCCTACGAAAGGATAGGAGAGGAGAGGAGAGGAGAGGAGGGAACAAATAAAAAAGAAAAGAAAAAGAAAAGAGAAATTGGTCTCCGGTACGGGGAATCGAACCCCGAGCTCCTCGGTGAAAACGAGGTATGTTAGCCGTTACACTATACCGGACTTGTGTCACTGTCGTGAGTTATTATTGACTTGACGGTGCGTGGTTCTAGTCTTGTGTCTTATTGTTTTTTATATTAGCGGCGGTTTGTGGGCGGCGGGTGGATGGCGGATGGTGGGTTTATTGGCTGGGAGTGGATCCGCATTTGATTGGTTTGGTGGTGTTTGTTTGCTGCGTACCTAAGTGAATTAATTATGTATATGACTGGAGATGGTGGTGCCGGGATTGTTCTTCTGATGTTGTTGTCGATTCTACCTTTCGACTTGAATATGTTAGAAGAATCTCACTGTCAGTTAGACTCAGAGGGAGGGTATTGCATGTTGTTCTATCGAATACATACAACCCCCTATTTACCCCGAGATAATCCAATAGTTTCTTCGACACAGACTTTTATCTTGCCCCCCTAAACTCAACTATCACCCAGAATCATACTCAATAGTAACTAACACCAGCCCTCTCATCCTCTCCTCTCTATACTGGCCTCTTACCACTTACCCCTTACCCCTTAACCATCCTCCTCACCACCTCCTCCACCCCCTCCGGCTTCACCCCCACACGCCCCAACAGCTCCTCCAACATCCCATCATCAACCTCGCACTCCCCCTCCTCCAACGCCTCATACGTACCAGCCCACCACCTAACCGCCGCCGCATCCAACCCCCGCTCTTCCACATAATACCTCTCGTGCTCCCTCCTCCCCACAACCCTCACACCAACCTCCCGCCCCCGAGCCGCGCCCACCAGCCCCGCTATCTCAGCCAGATTCTTCGCCGTACGGGCTCTGGTCGACAGGTAAAACAAGCGGTTGCCAAACTCCCCGCTTGGCGCGGTGAGAACCACCGCGCTAGCAATACCCAGATCCCGAATCGCCGTCCAGCTCACCTTCCCGTCCCCCGCGAGTAGGACTTCGCGCCGGTCGTCGGCGCCGTCGGGCGCGAAGTACCCCAGGTACAAGGGCCAGGACTCGGCGTACAGCCCCTCTCTAATAACCGTCACATTTTCAAGTCTGCCCTCGTCGCGCAACCGCGCCAGATACGCCTCCGTGCGTAGATGCGCGCGCATAACGCCCGCTTTACTAGTGCTCTTCCCGGCTTTCCTCTGCGGGTCGTACGCGAACGCCAGACTCGAGTAGCATATACACCTCACCCCAGCCTTCACCGCAGCATCGACAGCAACGCGATGGTGGCGCTCGCGGCCCTCGCCATCCGGTACCTCGACCCATTTCTTCTTCCCGTCCCCGTCGCCCTCCTGAACAAGCCTATCGTAATCTAGTTGTACATGCGGCGTCGACACTAGGAAGAACCTGTCTACGCCGGCTAACGCCTGCTCGAACGACGCGGGGTCCTCGAAGCTGGCGTGGCGTACTTGGAGCCCGGGGGCGGTGGCGGCTAGGGTGGCGAATGTAGATGAGCCGGGGTGGGAGGAGGTTAATGCGATGATGGAGGATGCGGGGATGAGGTTGTGCGCGAGCAGCGCGGAGAGCGTTGCGCCGCCTAGTTTGCCTGAGGCGCCTGCTATTGCTATCGTGGACATGATGGTGTTGTTTTATTTTATTTTATTTTATTTTATAAGTCTGTAAAGGTACTGGTGAGTATATTTATATTCTATATTCGTTTATTAATCGGAGTTTATTCGTAGCATTTATAAGCTATAGTGGAGGCATATTTGACGGACTTAAACGATATCGAAACGTCATGGAAGCTAATCGAGATCGGTTTATATTTATAATCGGTAGTTTCATTTCGGCTTTAATTCCAAGGTGGGTCGTATACGACTAGGACTGTCTTGAGAATCCGAGCTATAGTAGTATTGCCTGAAGAAACATTTCTGCCGATTTTCAAGTTTTATTTATGATCACCAAGAAAAATGAGATAATATAGAAAAGGGGTAGTGAAGAATCGATAAATGACGTTCTAATTCATCGATTTATTGCCCGAGTCAACTATGCTAGAGCTCAATACTTGGCCCGCAGAATACAAACGCAAGCTAACAACGCTATGTACGTTCATTTTATCATGCTCGTCTAGAGACCTGCAATCTCGAATACCTTCACACGCCTAAATAGCAACGAAGAAGCTCTTCTCACCTTCCTTCGGTATCACTCTAGCCCGCTCCATTATAGGATCGACACACGAAAGCCTGATCCTCTCGGGAGTAGCTGGGCTCTCGAGCCTTAGCAATCCATCATCCTCGCCTCCTTGGGAAAACAGCTTAGCCTTCACCCCGTAGTCCGCACGCGCTGCCTTGAGTGCGTCACGGATCGCAAAGAATACCGCACTACCCATGAATAGGGGCGGCTCGCCAACACCTCTGCTACGCTGGATGGTGCGCAGGTTCTCCCATGTCACGCCCTTTAGCAAACTGACGTTGAAAACCTGGGGTATGTCGCGGAATCCTGGGATCTTATATGCACCCGGCCCCTTCGTAAATAAGTTACCAGCCATCGGACCATTGCGCAACCATAGACTCTCCTCCATGGTGAACAGGCCTAGGCCTTGGGTGAATGCGCCCTCGATTTGACCATAATCGATCGAGGGGTTGATCGACCGTCCTACATCCATCTTGATATCGGCGCGCAAGCACGTCCAAGTACCAGTTAGACAGTCAACCTCAACCTCGGCTGCCGTAACGCCTTGAGTAAAGTAGAAGAACATCTTTCCGGTATTCTCACCCCACGTATACCCAATTTCTGGTGTCTTATAATACCCATTAGCGCTTAGGTTCACACGGTCAAAATAGGCTGCGTGGGCAAGCTCCTTCATGGTAGCTTGAGGCCCTAACTTCTTCCTATACGGTGCAAGCCGTTCGTTGATCTGTTCGCAGGCATTCCAGACGGCATAACCATTTAGATCGGACGACGCCGAGGCGGCGGTAGGAGACGTATTTGCTACCGTCATAGTGGACGTCTCCGAAATATGTACGTCCTCTTTCGGTACCTGGAGCGCTTGCGCTGCAATTGTGATTATCTTAGTATGCAACCCCTGGCCCATCTCTGTACCGCCGTGCGCGACTAGAACCGATCCGTCGTGATAGATATGCACCAAGGCCCCGGCCTGGTTCAACCAAAGAGCGGTAAAGGAGATACCAAATTTCGTGGGAATTAGTGCTAGTCCCCGTTTACGCCATTTGTGTTCCGCGTTGAATGCCTCAACGGCTTTGCGGCGGGCGGCGTAGTCCGACTCCTCCTGAACCTGCTTATACATCAGAGGTACGTGCCAGTCTTGAAGGGGTTGGTTAAAGTGAGTCTCCTCGTTGGCTTTGTAGAAATTGATTTCCCGGAACCTCTCAACTGGTATACCGAGACGGTCAGCAACTTCAGACATGTAGCACTCGGCGAAGAATAAGCCTTGAGGCCCACCAAAGCCACGGAAGGCCGTGTTAGACATAGTGTTGGTTTTGCATAGCCGCCCGCGAACGTGAACGTTTGGGACCTTGTAGCAGCCATCGCTATGGCTTAGGGAGCGTTCGCACACGGCGGGACTCAAGTCGAACGACCAGCCAGCATTTGCGAAGACGTCCATGTCAAGAGCTTGGAGTTTGCCGTCTTTATTCACACCCACTTTCCACTTAGCGAGGAAAGGGTGCCGTTGACCAGATAATACCATATCTTCATCTCGGTTGAGCATACATCTGACAGGCCGCTTAGTCTTTTGCGCAGCCAATGCGCAAATAGTGCTGAGATGGACACATCTGGTTTCCTTCCCGCCGAAGCCGCCACCAAGACGCTTGACGCGAGCTACCACTTTATTTGACTGTACACCAAGAATCTTAGATGCGTACGCCTGGCTGGGAGGAAGTCAGCTTATCAAACCCCCAGTGTGGAATATCATAAAAAAACGTACCTTTCGGTGGGATTTTGACTGCTGGTCCAAATTTCCATCTCACCATCTTCGGGTTTGGGTATGGCCAGGCACGCATTTGTTTCCAGGTAGAAGTGTTCTTGGCCTCCCATTCGCGCGACACCTGTGAAGGTATAGTCGCAATGTTTGAAAGCCTCTTCCGCGTCTCCTTTCTTGATATATCGAAAGTATTTGTGGAAGCTCTCCTTTTCGATTGCCTCCTCAATAGTGAAAATGGCAGGGAGATCTTCATACTCGATCTTCACGGCCCTGACTCCCTGTGCTGCCCTTGCCTGCGAGGTAGCTAATACGATGGCGATTGGCTGACCGGCAGTGAAAACCTCATCTTCGACAAAGAACAGGTCGTCAAAATTAGGCGCACCCCATTTGTTGTGCTCAGGGTTGTGCAAGTCATTCTTATCAACGATATCTATTACACCTGGGATATCCAACGCCGCAGAATAATCAATTGATTTGATCTTTGCGTGCGCCCTCGTAGACAACACTAGACATGCGTATAGTTCGTTCTTGAGCGGCGGGATATCGTCTGTATACTGCGCTTCTCCTGTACTCTGCTTAAGAGCCGCCACGTGGTTATCGGCTTTTCCTAAGGGCCCCTTAATGTAACTAGAAGTTGCCTCATGGTCCTTCCAACCAGATGATAAAGCTCTTTCGAGCTCCTCGACGGCTTGACTATCACCGTGTTCACTTTCTATGTTAATACCCGACAACACGTCGTGATAGAATCGGTAAAAGAAACCAAGTGCCAGCGACTTTCGATACGAAGCCATGCCTCCGGGAACACTAAATACGAGATCAAAATCGGACTCGAGTGCATTCATAACACCTTCTAGCGTATCGGGATGAGCGAATAATTTGCCCCTGAGATACTCATTGGCTTTCTTTGCTGCGACAGTAGAGGGCGCCATGCCGCCATAAACCAGATTACAATGCTCAACGACACCTTTCTGGTCTAGTCTGACATGTAACGCTCCTGTAACAATAGCAATATCATCATCCTTGCGTTTTGCCTGCTTGTAGGCTCTGAAATATTCTCCCTTCTCGCGAGTTACGGGAATGCGGATAGATGCAAGAATTGCGTCTTGTTCTAGGGCTGTCCTGCGATAACCCCTGAAAAACGATGCCATGGGTAGTTCAATCTCTTTATTCAGAGATTTAGCGACCAGAACGCAGTCTGCTGCCATGAATACGGGATTTAAATCAGAGATGGGCGAAGCTGTAACTAAATTCCCAGCAGGGGTACCGACATTTCTGATTTGCCGTCCAGCGAAGTACTTGATTTGCTTGTACATAGCTTGGAACACTTGGCCCCTTACTTCTCCATAATGCTTAACGGCTTCCTGGCAGATATTCTCAAGGTCAGTGAGCACGACGTTCCCGCCGATCTCAAGGTGGTCTTCCTTGAAAGAATACTGCCGCAGCTCGGGGATGTCTCCGACGAATACCGAAACCGGATATTGCAGAGCCTTAAACTTGATCTCAATTTGCGTTTCCGTACTCCCGCCGATGATCTTCGCATTAGGATAGACGCTCTTTATCTCCAGTAACTGTTCCAGCGTAACAGGTCGATACCACCTCTTCCTTTTATTCCCGAAGGATAGGGGCTTAAATACATGTTTCTTCAGTGACGGCGGGAAGATGAGTTCGGTGTCTGGCTTGTATTCGATAAATCCTGGTGGTGTGAATTTTTTGATGGGCTGTCCATCGCTGAGATCCTTGCTCTTACAACACCCTCCGTTCGCACCTTTGGAACCGTCGCTATTTTCCATGCAGCAACCTGAGCCGCCATTCGCAGTGCTTTTACCACACGCATTTCCGGCGCTAAAGGTCTGAGCGGCGTCTAATATTGGGCGATAACCAGTACATCGGCAGAGGTTACCGTCGAAAGCTTCTTCGATGTCATGTTCTGTAGGGCTCTCGTTATTTCTCAACAGAGCGTACAAACTCATAACAATCCCCGGAGTGCAAAATCCGCATTGGCTTCCATTGCCCTTGGCAATACGTTCCTGTGCCGGATGGGGTTGCTTAACGTTTCCTATGCCTTCAATTGTGATAACATGCTTGCCGTCTACACTGGCAAGCGGTGCCAAACAGGCGTTAACACTAGCATGGTATATCTGCTTGGTCGTCGGGTTATATTGGCTCACTACGACTGTACAGGCGCCACACCCGCCTTCACCGCAACCCCTACGCTCCAGCTATCAGCATTGGTTAATCTGACAGAGTCGAACGCAGTCCGGACTTACAGTTTTGTTCCAGTTAAACCTATTCCTCTTAAGTATTCGAGCAGCGTAACTTCTGGGTCGATATCGTCGAGAACCACACGAGTACCATTAAGGAAGAAACGAATGGTATCATCGTACACCGCAGTTAGTCCGGATTCCCCACCTGGCAGTGCCGGATCTCTTTCGGGGGAGATGGCAATTGGAGCCATGATGTCAAAACTCCCCCCTTAATTGCGTAGCTTTAACAGATGATACCGTAAAGTTGATATTTCACATAGGTATCTAGGGCAATGCTGGATATTGCTACACATCGACTCAGCTATTAACAGTTGGATTGTCGAGGCCGGGAAAGAGAAATAATAAGTCTTGAAGCTTTTGGCCTGAATGATTTACTGAGACAATGGTGAGAAGAGAGTATGATGGCTTAAACTGTGTTGTAAACAAGTAGAACAAGTGCTGCACTTCTACACCTTAGTTGGGTGGCAATCTACGTTTATCGTGACTTAAAGTCTGACTGGTCTTTCATTCGCCGGTGCCCAATCTAGAGGTTCGGTGAACCAGTAATGACAAGCGGAAAGTTGATAACTGAGCCGCCATTTGATACATATGACATGGAGGGGCGAATTAGAGGAAAGTCATATCGAATCAGATATGAAGAAGAAGAAGTCACAACGGTTTGAGATATGCAACTTAGGAGTATAAACCCGCGACTTCCTAGGGGCTAACTAAAGCCGGTCAGCTGCGGGGTACTAGCTTATCGCTGTAGAGCTACATGTACGTATTACGTAGCGCCGTTAGCCTTATCTAAGGATCTAGCTGCGTATCCACAACCTCGGCTGACTCCGACTTCCGCGATCTTTTCTTTCTAGCTTCATTCTCGAAATACTCGGAGGGCAAGACTGGTTTAGTACGTCATTGTATATAGCTTGTTACCCAGCTTAGTCTAAAGGGGAACTATAAGACCCTTCGTTTCCTACATAGTTATACGACTTCAACTATAACTAGCCGCTTCCACCTCACAGGAGACATTCCTAGTCACCCCGCAAACTAAAGGGTCTGGATCTGACTAGGTTAGACAGAAGCCAAGAGCGCGCCAAACAGTTGCCGAACATCCAAGTGTTGATCACGTTTCATCTAATTTTCTCGGTCTTGACTGATTCTATAGTCAAGTTCAGCTGTTCTCGTCAACTAATACGGTATAAATCAACATGACAGACACCTCATAGCATATTCTCATAATCAATTAAATATAAAGATCGAATTTAAATCATTACCTCGGATCACTGTTATTATTTTCGTGCTGCTGTAACATTAGTATTACCGAGCATATCACAAGCCGTCGCTAACTCGAGCCCAGAAGAACCCCCAAGCAACGTCGAGATCATCCTACCCTAGAGAGCTTTTGGGGACTTTTCCCGGAGCCTTACCCTCATATGGAAGAGTGTACCAGCCCTAAAACACCGGCAATTCATTCAAACACTATTAACCCCTCATCCTACCTTACCGCATACCGGTAGTATATATGGCAAAAATAGCCATGCGGATAGATGGCAGTCTGTCTGCTTTGCCCACGTGGCTAAAGTAGAGATACTTTTATCCTTTCCTTACGACTTCTGTATTATTGTGCTCTCTGCTCGCTACATGTGGTGATCAGGTTATTTGTTCGACATACGAAACACGCGTCTTGTACAGCTACCGTTGCCGTTGTAAGCCAAGATGCCTTCTCTCGAGACAAACGGCTCGAATGGGCAATCCGCCTTCCAATTCTACAACATCATCGACGGAAAACCCCGCACCTCCAAGGATCATCACCAGGTCATCGATCCCCGCACGGAAGAGCCTCTCTGGGACGCCCCTATCGCATCGACGAAGGACCTAGACGATGCCGTCGAGGCGGCCAACCGGGCTTTCAAGACGTGGAAGAAGAGCACTGTGGCCGAGCGCCAGAAGGCCGTTCACGATGTAGCCAACATTATTCTCGAGAACCTAGATATCCTAACCGAGGTCCAGATGAAGGAAACTGGCAAGTCTAGGCTCATGTCGAAATTCGATGTTGAGAGGGCAGCATGGCATTTCGAGTATTACAGTATGCACCACCGACTCCCCCTTATCGTGCACTAACTTACACACCCATCAAGAAAGCGTAACCCTCGAAGACGAGCTCCAATACGAAGACGACACAATCCGTATCATAGCAACCCACGCGCCCATCGGCGTGCTCGGCGCCATCTCCCCCTGGAACTTCCCCCTAATCCTATCAACAGTCAAGATCGTCTCCGCGCTCGCCACGGGCAACTGCTGCATCATCAAGCCCTCCCCCTTCACGCCCTACTCGCTGCTCAAGTTCTGCGAGCTAGCGCAGTCGGTCCTACCCCCCGGCGTCTTCCAAGCCGTCAACGGCGGCGCCGACCTCGGCGAGCAGATGACGCTGCACCCGGGCATCCACCACATCAGCTTCACGGGCACCATCGCCGTCGGCCAGCGCATCCTGCGCAACTGCGCCGGCACCCTGAAGAAGCTGATCCTCGAGCTCGCGGGCAACAACGCCTGCATCGTGTGCGACGACGTCGACCTCGATAAGGTCGTGCCCCAGGTTGCTACCGGCGCTTTGTTCCACGCCGGCCAGGTGTGCGTCGCGTCGAAGCGCATCTACGTCCACGAGTCCCTGTACGACCGCTTCCTGGAAAAGCTCATCGAGGAGTCGAAGAAATTCGCTGTCGACGACGATGAGTCCGTTGCTTTTGGCCCGCTGTCGAACCGCGTTAATTACGAACGTGCGGTGGGAATTATTGAGGATTGCAAGAAGAACGGGTATAAGATTGTTACGGGCGGCGAGGTCCGGCCGACTGAGAAGGGGTTCTGGCTGCCCCCGACTATTGTCTCGAAGCCGCCTGAGGACTCCCTGATCGTTAGGGAAGAACAATTCGGTAAGCTACGAGAATTCACCCATGCATTCCCTTAGCCCCTTTTTTTCATTATCCTACACATCCAAGAAACCAAGCCTGATTAACCCTTCGCAGCCCCCATCGTCCCCGTAATGTCCTGGTCCTCAGAAGACGACGTGATCGCCCGCGCAAACCTAGACAACGCCGGACTCGGCGCCTCGGTATACACCCCTGACCTCGACCGCGCGCAGCGCATCGCGCGACAGCTCGAGTCGGGAACCGTGTGGATCAACCAGTTCGAGCGGCCACACCACGCCGGTTTCTTCGGCGGCTGGAAGCTTAGCGGTTTTGGCGGAGAGCTCGGAAAGCAGGGTCTGCTGCATTATTGCCATACGCAGAGTCTGCAGATCGCCAAGTAGGCGGTTGGTAGGGGAGTAAGTAGGTGATCTTTATTGGGGGGTGAAGAATGGGAGAGAAAGAAGAGGAGGATGGCGGAAGAAGGTTCCTTTATTGTGTATAGAGCGGGCTAGACTTTCTGTAAATATTTGTGGTATAGTATACTGTAGAGGGATATATATACACATATACTTACCTATATATAAATCATTCGCGATTACCATATATTAGTGCCATACTCCCGCAGTTGTTGCTGGCTAATGCGTACCAGGTAGATACGGGTGACCAACCAGTCGATCGAATATTCCGGACGCAGGGTTCACTCAGCACCTAAAACACTCATCGCCATACTTTAACTTTAACGTATCTTGATAAATCTATCGCCTTGCAAATCTATCGCATCTCCCAGCAGACTCCACCCTCTAACTCTCTATGTACTTCTTCAACCCCCTAAGCCGCTCCTTCGCCGTCTCTAAAATATGATCCTCCTTGCACACCGCAAACCGGATATAATCCTCCGCAATATGCGCATTAGAGTCGGTGTAAAACTCCGTAGGCGGAATGGCAGCAACACCAACCTCTTGGATCAGGAACCAGGAGAGCTTGAAGTCGCGCGGTCGGCTCGCCACGTGTGGCGGGAACGGGTAGTTCTCCGGCAGCTTGACCTTCTGCATGTTCACCATCACGAAGTACCCGCCCTCAGGGTCTGTGTATGGCAGGCCTAGCTCGTCCCATACTTCGTTGAATAGCTTCATCTTGCTTTTCATGTCCCGGACCGTCTCTTCCCAGAATCCTTCGGCTTCGGCTTGCTCGAAGCCTAGGTGGGTTAGTATATATGTCTGTCACGTGTTAAAATCAGGGGGAGTAGTTTGGACGTACCGACTGCGCAAGCTTCTTGCAATGGCGAAACGGACGAGTAGCAGATGCGCGTGTGGGCTGCGGAGACGTAGCGGATCAGATGTTCGGGACCCATAAGCCAACCTGTGTCTTGTCAGTGATAGATCACGAGCAGAAGTTTTACATATAACATACCGACTCGCCATCCAGTGGCATAGAAGTTTTTACCAGCCGAGCCGACGGTCAGTGTTAACTTCTCGATCTCAGGCGAGAGTGTTGCGATCCTCGTAAAGGGTGTGTAGTAAAGGCGGTCGTACACCTCGTCGGAAAGGATGATAATCTCATTCTTGACACAAATATCTCCTATTCTCTGAAGTTCTGCTTTCGAGAAGACCTTGCCAACGGGGTTATCTGGGAGAGTTATTAGTTAACTATTTTATGTTACTAGACTTAAAGAGTGGAATACTGACGAGGCGTATTAATGACAATCATTTTCGTCTTGGGCGTAATAGCCTTCTCAAGCTCGTCAAAGTCGACGGTCCACTCAGCAGACGACGACGTGCGCGTAGCTCCATCTTTCGGCGGGTGTAGGGGGACATATACAATCTTCCCACCAGGCATCTCAATGTTGCTGATGTATCTAGACCATAGTTGGCAAACGGATTGTCTTGATATAGGGGAAATGACTCACTGGTCAAAGAACGGCTCAAAAATAATGACCTCATCGCCAGGTTCAATGAATGCCATGAATGCACTCAGCATGCCTTCATTCGCTCCGGTGGTGATAGTAACCTCAGTCTCCGGGTTGAGCTTCCGTCCCCAGAAGGGTTCGTAGGCATCTGCGATAGCCTTCTTTAGTCGCGGTCTACCCTTCGTAGGACTGTACTGGTTGCAGTCCACTCGGTCCAAAGCCGACTTGGCGGCATTGATAATGAAGGGCGGCGGGTTATAGCCGAAGAAGCCCTGTCCCATATTCACGATGGGCTGCTTTGGAGAGGCCGCAGCCGCCTCGTTGACGATAGACCAGACATCCTGTCTTTGGCCTGCAACGCGAGCGGCAGGCTTGAGCTTAGGTGGAAGTTGTGCTGACATAGTTGTTGAATGGAAACCCCGGTTTCTGGTAGCGAATCCCCGATGCGCGCTGCTGATGTAGGGTGTCTTTGTGTAGAATAGTCTGGGATAAGACCTCAGGCGAGAGAAGCAATGCATGTATGCAAACGTGCGCCGTATATCAAATATCTCACGTGCACATTAAAGTCCCCAATCCCCTACTTCTCTGTTCTGTTCTGATTTGCCAACTAGTATTAAAAGTAAAAGGGGTTTCTCTAGTGTATTTTTATTTTATTTTATTTTATTATATGATATCTCTTTCCTTACAGAGAGTTCATAATGGACTGTTCCGTAATCGGCGCCCTGTAATTGGAACTGCGATAGGTACTCCAAATTCGCTTGAGCAGCTGCAGCTACTAAAACGTCACGTCATTTCTGCGCCGAGCACTCAAAACATTAGCGCCCTTGTGGTAACACAATACCCCGAGTTTTACCCACGTTCTAATAAACCGTACGTTCAACTCCCACACCTCGCACCTCATCATTTTTTTTTTTACAAGCTAAAGCCTCTCACAAATAGCTACACGGGTTCAACGCCCTGATATTTAACTTTCTTATCACGGTTGAGAACAATATCCTTCAAGGGAAATTTTTTTTATACAATTAGCCTCGTAAAACTCGGGCATAGAACTACTTAGCTTTCCATCTTTCCTTCGCTTCGTTCAATAGCCTCAATAGCTCGCCCTTCTCTTCTGCTAAATAAAGATATTCAGAGCAAACATATTTGATGCTATCCTCAACTGTATGATGCTCCAATTCTGCCCTATTTATCGTTGGATCGGCCCCGTACTTGAGGAAAATCTTCGTTGAAGCGATCCACTCCTCATAATCCGACCGTACAGGACGTTTCTCAGAGCGTTGGAGATGCATCTCCCAAACAGTGTAGCGATTTGATGAGGCTGTGGGAGGAGTCTCAGTATCCAAGCAATTTGGGTCAACACCTTTTTCGAATATCATCTCAAAAATAGCTGGTAGGGCTCTAAAATCATTCGGAACTATTATTTCCCAGTCGTGCCTCATTCTAAGTCTGCTATACCGGGATAGCTGTGGTAGGAGAGATTCCAGTTGGCCTCTAGAAGTTTCCTCTTTTATTTTGGCTGCCACGTATGGAAGTAGTCTAAGCAAGGATGTAAGTTGCAAAAAGCTTTTTATCCTCACTATTCCATACCGACTCGATCCCATATATAAAACATCGGTCCAGCATAATTCTAAACTACTCATATCGCTCCTTATGAGTTTACTCCCGACGTCGTCTAGTTCGTCAAGAAGCTTTATATAAGAGTAGCGGATATCACCCATGAGATCATTTGCTTTGAAGGATTCCATTCTAGCGCATATGAATATAGAGGTGAGTAGGTTTACAGTAATCTGAGGAATATAGGCGCCGTCGACACGAAGGTTGGAGAGATCGATAGAACTGTCGAAGTTGATTACAGCTTCGGAACAATATTTCAGACGTCGGATAAGCCCACTCATCAGAGCCAAGTCAACGTTAGGTATAGCATACCCAGCGGCGTTCGGGAAGATTTTATTCTGCACATACTTTCGGGATAAGAATTGCTTTGCCGTCTGGTGCATGAATTGCACCTTCATTGTCCCTTCCAATAGACCAGCGCATCGTGCCCTCAGGCGTTTCTGCAACCTGTCACAGTCTGGCTGTAATTCTTCCCAAGTTTTCCTTGGATATTCGTTACTCTTGGCTTTCAGCGCTTCTTGGCTATCGCCTTTGGAATGCCAACGTTCTGCTGAGAATAGAGTTATGATGTCGAGACTGAGTTCCCTATAAGATATTTTAGGCCACCTTGCAACCAAATCGAATAGTCTTTTCGATTCTGGTAGATATTCTCGCTCAATGTTCTCCATCATGCGCATATAAAGACCAGTTTTCCCACCAAGTCTCTCAGGAAGACCATTTATGGCCTTATGGAGCTCATGCTCGTAGCCACCGTCGCGAAATTTGTCAATTATAATTTCAATAACCAGGCGAACCCAAATAAATATTCCACGTGCCTTTCTTGTGATCTCGGACGCGAATTTCGGTATGTCTGAAAGCTGTGGTATCTTATCGGTCAAAAAGCCCTCGCAATACTGAGCAATGGAGTCGGCTGTGTGTTCATGAACCTTTATTCTGGGGAAGCCTCTGAACTCTTGTTCGAACACGTTCAACTCCCTGCTGGAAAAGCACACCTTCACGTTCTTGATAGTCCGGAGACTATGAATAAACTCGGCGATCTCCTTATGACCATCGGTTATCCACTTGCTCCGGCCCCACGATTCGTCCTGATCATTGTCTTCGTAAACTAGATCAAGTTCTTCTTCGGTGTAATCGTTTTTTCTGTCTGCCATACGGTACTCGTCTAGACCGTCTAGAAAAACGCAAATCCTGGAGTCTTGAAGATGGTTTAACATGGACATGAACGCTTTTTTAAGATCGTTCCAACTGAGAAAGTCCTTTGGCAATGGGCGTTTTTTGGGTCCAAATAGATTCAGCCCGGAGAAAACTTTTGGAATAAGTTCACGTCGGCTTTCCAGCACTTGATACAGGAAAGTTTGAAGCATCCCTTCCCTAGAGCTTTGGTCCGCGTCGCCGAGCTCAAAAAAGAAATGTCCCATTAAGATTAATTCTTTGTCTTTGGCCCATTGGGAGTTTCGGAGTGTCGCTTCGGTCCTTTCGTCACGATATGCGTACTTCATCAAAGTAGATTTCCCGCACCCAGCTTTGCCACTAATCCAATGGAAAGTCTCGTCGCTTTGAAGCCAAGACATAAATTTGCATGGGTTGGCGGATGCTTTGTTTTCTTCCGGTTCGCCATCTAGAATCCAGGAACAAGTATTTGTATAGGCATCCTCTATACTATATTCTCGAGTATTGATCGTAGTGAATCGCAATTCTTCCAGTATATCTACCACATATTAGAAAAGATCGAAATTATATAAGGGGTATGAATAGACATACCATCTTTCTGAGATTCAAGCGTTTCATTGTCTTGTGAATGTCAGCTTTCGTATTATCATATACATATAAATAAAGAGAAAACTACTGTAATTCCACATCACAGTCACATTTATATAAACCCTTCCGCGTAAAAAACGCCAATTAAAGTTATACCACATATGGATTCTGCGGATATATGCCAAACTACAAATATCCTCCGAAGAACTAAGCAGTTCCAACTGAAGAGGTAGCAGACATGGTAGTTGGAACTTGAAATTGTTATTCGCTAAGATTAAGGAAAGCTGTCGCGTGACATACCTTGGTCGGACTCGGGTTTCTTAAAGTCACGGACATTCTTAATATGACCAAGCACTCTCTTATAGCCGGCGTCTTTCGATGAGAACTTGACCATATCCATATGATTTGCATGAATTGAATTGCTGATTACGTTATGCCCTTGATAAGAGGCAGAGTCTTTTGGGACGATCTAATCCATTAGATGTTAATAAATGAAGCGGAGGTACTTGTGCGGGTAGATAATACCATGCCTACTGCGGTTGGGAGTTCCTCCCTAAGGCAAACAATATACATATCCTTTGAAACTGACATGAAAAGATCCTGTTGCTTCTCAAGGGCATCCTGGTTGGGCTTCAGAACCCCGAGAAGCTCCTTATTCGGTTGTCGAAACGACAAGCTCGCAGCGCTCGCCGCAATTTCGGCATATGGCGCCTTATCGCTACCTCGATGCGGTGTTCCCATGAAAACCACACCTGCGGTTTTGGCGGAAATTTCGCCAAGGGCAGGGTGTCTCCCGTGGCTTCGGTAGATATTGGAGGAATTTAGAGCTTCTTTAACAACGACACCCCCAAGGCTATGGCAGATAAATACGATGGGCCTGGTCTGATCGTCCGCGGTTAGTCTCATGTAATAATGTTCTAGCAGTCACAAGGAAGGACATACAACGTCTCGCCTTAGGTCGGCCAAGTCACTTAATAATGTATTAGAATGGCCAAAGAGACTCTCCTTACTTGCATAGGAGAAGGCATTGGCAATATTCGCATCATAGCCCCATGTGATCACACGAGCATTCTTTAGATCATCCTTGAGCAGATCTCGGGGCCAGAAGACACCATCTTTAGACCAGGTCTTCATTCGGGATCCATGCAGTCCATGGACGAAGACGAGATCAATTCCGCTGTCAGGCGCTTCACAATCGTCAAAGGATTCCAGCGCCCCAGTGCCACCGCCAGGTGACATATCCAACTGTTCTTCAGCGTTCGAAAGCTCATTAACGTTGCCTCCATCTGCAGCCCGAGCTTCCTTTTTCTTTCCTTTCCAATTATGCCTGCGGAAGGAGAGGGAGAAGCGGGAGAAAAACTTAGGCATAATAACACAAATATTAGGAAATGATCGGTGATCATATGGCTCTAGATACTAATTGGTACTACAAGGACCAATTTTATATATACCTAATCATAAAGGTTCTTGTTGGGTCGAAAGGACAATGTATTTACGGTGCTCTGCAAAGGTACAAATAGAAGGATAGAGGAATGTATTAATTGCCTACCTAGGTACCTAGGTAGGGTGGTATATATATATATATATATGCATACTCCAATCACAAAAACCTCATGTCAGGTAGGTAATCTAGTGGTCAAGAATTATATCTACAGGATTTTATGCCTTAATATTACTGTTCCAGTTTCCCCGTAGTGCCCAATTAGAATATCCGTAATACGGAGTCTCAGTTGTCACCTGCATCTATTGGACCGACTGCATATGGCTGAGATTAACTCCATATGCCCCTTGTAGCCTATCACTATGAGACACGGTAAACTGGCGCTTATCGCGTTATGGAACCCATTGCTGTAAGTATAGGTAGGTAATCACGATTCCTAATGCACCGTTAACTGTCTGTTGTTAATGTTATGGCAGTTATACTAGCCACGACTGTGAGACTTAACCAATCCAAGCTCAGTTAAGGAGGAAAGCCCCTCATAGACTCCGAATTTATTTCCTAGAAAAAAAAGATCAACGGGATGACTTACGTAGCTAACTTGTATTTGAGGATATAAGTATTTTTCTATTGAGGCTCCGAAGTGTCTTACTTTATAGAACCCCACTAAACAAGCTTGGTACGCTAGTACCACCCTAGCGCCTAAATAAAGCTCAATTAGCAGGGATGCCCATCCAACCTAACCCGACCCAACCCGTCGGATATCCTCGCATCACATCACAACCATCACAACGACTTCCTACCTTACCTCTCTACAACCACATACTCAATTAACCTAACATAAAAAAAAATAATGCCATCCCACCTCCACCAACCCTCAAAATGACAACCTCACCACAACCACAACCGCACCTCAAACCCCCCTCCTCGCCTCTCTTCCCACCAAACCCACCAAACCCGCCAAACCCACCCCTCCTCCTAACAATCCGCTTCAGCGCCTCCATCCCCGACCTCGACCTCGACATCCCCCACCCCTCCCTCACAACCGTAATATCCCTCAAACACCTAATCCGCCAACGCCTGCAAGAGCCCAACTCCCAGCGCCGCCTGCGCTTCATCCACGGCGGCAAGATCCTCCCCGACAACGCCGCGCTAAGCTCCGTCCTGCGCGCCCCCCTGCTACCACCACCACCACCACCACCACCACCGTCTCGACCCGATTACGATAGCAAAGGCAAAGGCAAATCCGTCCCCGGCCGCCCCGAGCCCCCGCAGCGCATCTACGTAAACTGCTCTATCGGCGATAGTCTCACAACCGCCGAGCTCGAATCCGAAGCTACCGCCGCAGCAGCCCCTGCGCCCGCTCCATCCGGCACCTCGTCGCCGCTATCACGCGCTCCGACTCCTCTCCCCAGCACATCCGCCGCGCCGCGCGGTTTCGACCGGTTGCTGTCGGCGGGGTTTACCACCGCCGAAGTAAACCAGCTGCGCCTGCAGTTCCGCAGCATCCACGCGTCGCGATTTACGCCGGATACGCTGCCGTCGCCGGATTCGTTCCGCCGGATGGAGGATGCGTGGATCGATGATAATGGGGCTTCGATGCCGGCTACGGGTGCGCTTGGTGGTAGTGGGGGAGTGGGAGGCCTGAGTAATGGTACGGATAGCGATGAGGTCGGACTTGTGGCTCTTGTCGATGTGATGATTCGCGGTGTGGTGACGGGGTTCATGTGGCCGCTAGGAAGCGCAGGGTGGCTTGTACGAGAGGAAGGTATGGCGAGTGGACGGTGGAGGTTTATGGTTGGCGTGGGTGTTATGTTTAGTGTTTTGATTGGGATTATAAGGAGTATTTCTGGCGAGAAATGATTGCTCAAAAAACTGGCATTGAAACTCTTGCGCTGGATTGGGATGGATATATCTACGAATACGCATGGGAACGGCGTTGCATTTGCAATTATATCATGGCAGGGCGTTTTAGAGCAATTACAGTATGAACATAGATGGACAAATTGTATCACGTTGGCAAAAGATAAGAAGACAAGCAAGCGGGTTGGGCATCGCCAACAATGGCGATACCCCCATTCACTATCTAAGCACACACTAGAGAATCTAAGATCTCAGGAGATGGTTACGTCTCGAAAGAGACGCAATGGAACCCTATTAGGGTCGGTCTCTGTCATTGATCTCGAAACAAGTGGTATCCCTCCCCTAAACTCCATAAATCATAATCATAGGTTCCAAGTAGCTGAGTATTGAATCCTCGTCCATCCACTTACCTTTACATGATTATGCGTCGAAGAAAATCATCGAAGAAAGCCTGTTGGTAGAACAATATTACAAGTAGAGGGATTGGGCGGCCACGATATCGCGACGGATCTTCGCTAAACTCTCCTCAAACTTGGTTGTTAGGTCTTCGCTACCCATAACCTTTCCTGCTTGTGCCATCTGGCGAAGGAGCTCCTCGAGTCGGCGGAATAGACGGATTAGGGAACCCTCGTAGGCATTGGTCATTTTGCTAGAATATTCGTCAGCTTATAAAACAGATCACATCATCAGGTCTACTTACCAGACTTCGGCAAATGATTTTCCGTTCGCCCAAGCATAGACAGTCTCCATAAGTTGCCATTTTAAGCTTTGGGCGTACTCCTCCTCATTTACTTCCAGTTTGCTCTCTTGACTGACTTTGGCGATGATACGGGCCTGGGCCTGCACTTGTGAGTATGGCTTCATTAGCTCGTCGGGCAGAGCCTGTGCTTCGACCTTCTCCTCGAAAATGAATACACTAAGAATAGCGGCGCATAGCTCTGGGGAGAGCTCGTTGAAGAATCGATTGAAGAGTAGTTCAGACAATAGTAGCTCGTGACCATCTGTCGAGGAAATCTCACAAGCTACACGAGCCTTCATCTGAACAATTTCGGATTCATTAATAAAGCCAAGACGACGGAGGACTCGCTTCCTCGACTTAAGTTCGTCTAGCTGCGCAATGGAATGCGCCTTGGCGATCTTCTTCTTGAGAGCCTTGATCTCCTCGTTGCGGGCAATCTTTGCCGAATACTGTTCCCAAAGACTAGGCAACATAGGTGAACCGTGAAGTGGGTTAGCTAGTAATCGCGACTCTAAAACTTCGATCTTGCGAAGAAGCTTCTTAAACGAGTCGTCTGTAATGTTCATGTTCTCAATAGGGTCCAAAATAGGCAATCCATCAGGGAACCGTCGCTCGACTTCCTTAAGCGCCTTGAGCGTCTGCTTACGAACCGCTTCAATATCCTCCCGGCTGGTCACATCCTTAGGCATGAACACTCGGATCTGGCTTAGAGCTTTGATACACGTGAGCATGCAGGGTACGACTTCAAAGATGCTGTCTTGGTTGGGATCACTAGCTCGAGCACCTTCTGGCATCTCAGTCGAGGGGTTAGCAGGTCCAAAAGGATCGCAAGTCGGGTCGAGGCGAAGGAAGACATCTATAAAATAAGACTCTTGGGGAGGATATTCCTTCTCGCCAAATTTAGGGTCCTTGCGCTTTGTGACGTTAACAACGACACCCCAGCCAAAATCCTTGCCCGTCTTCGGGTTAGCGATTTGCACAAGTCTTCCTGGTTGAAGATACTCGATACAATAATTGGGATGCTGGATGACGGCTAGCATGTCCTTGGTGTACTGCGTAATTTGCTGACGTAAACCGTAATAGTCCTTGACGGTGGCCTCGTCCGGAATTACCATCTCGTCTCGCGTTTTCTGTAGCTTCATCAACTCATTTTCTAGGCCAGCGACACTAGCGGTGTTCTGGAACTGGAAGAAGCAATTCTCCAACATGAACTCGGGGTTGATGGCATCGATTCTGAGTAAGTTCAAAACCATGTTGTAACCTAGGTAAAAGGCGGAATTGAGTCTGTCCTGTTGACCAACAACGATGTTCTTGGCCGTTTCCGGTTCCATCTTGTCATCAATCATCATGATGACGATACCACGCTCGTCGAGACCTCTACGACCCGCACGTCCAGACATTTGAATATACTCGGACGGAGTCAGGGGTCGTGTAGAAGTGCCATCCCATTTCGAGACTTTTGTGAAGACGACCGTCTTCGCCGGCATATTCAAGCCGATAGAGAAAGTCTCCGTTGCGAAGAGAACTTTGATCAAACCCTCCTGGAACAGGATTTCGATGGTTTCCTTAAGGATGGGCAGAAGGCCGGAATGATGGACGCCGATTCCCTTCTCTAAGAGAGGAAGAATGTTTTGGATTTGAGGAAGCTCGCGATCTTCCTCTGATAGGGATTCGATAGCGCTTATAAATACTTTTCGCACCATAGCCTTCTCGCTATCGTCGTTGAATGCGAATTTCGAAGTTGTCAAGGCCATCATTTCACACTCCCTCTTGCTGAAATTAAAAACAATCACGGGGTTGAAATTCTTGTTCATGATCATTTTCACAATCTTCTGAATGTCGGCTTGACTGTCAGAGTTGTTGCCCTTAAAGTTCTTCTTGTGCCTTCCCTTGCCCTTCTGCTTAGCATCGGGATCATTAGCATCAGCGGCCTTGCGCTCTTCTATTAGCTGCATGGTCTTGTTGAAGTTATGCTCCCGGAATACGCCCTTCTCATCCACAACTAGGAATATGCCTGATCCGCCAGCCGGGAAGAAGTAGTTTTGCAGAGGTGTCGGTCTGAAATCGGTGTAGACGACATGACAGGCTTGTCGATGGATCTTTGCAATCCATTCGGCGAATTGAAAGGCGTTAGGAATGGTGGCAGACAGGAACACGTATCGGACCTTATCGGGAAGGAGAATAATTGTCTCTTCCCATACTACACCACGCGATTTATCTCGCATGTAGTGGATCTCATCGAAAACGACCCAAGCAACCTCTCGCATTATTTCGGATCCTCGATACAACATCGACCGTAAAATTTCAGTTGTCATGACAAGACAACTGGCAGTAGGATTGATGGTAACATCACCAGTCATGAGACCAACATCGCCGAAAGCCTCGTTGAATTCTCGGTATTTTTGGTTACTCAATGCCTTAATCGGACTAGTATAGATGACACGCTGGTTCTGCTTGAGACAATGTGCAATGGCATACTCGGCTACGACAGTCTTTCCAGCACTCGTATGCGCCGACACTAGGACGCTCTCATCTCGTTCAATAGAGGAGATCGAAAGGCGCTGGAAGGGATCGAGTGTGAATGGCCAGGTCCGTGCAGGGTTCTCAGGTGGTTTGTGTTCAGATAGTGGGACATATTCGTAATCGAGATCTGGGGGAAGTGCGACTTGATGTTGAATATTGTGGGATAGAACTAGCGACGCCTCGTCTTTAGTCGGGGCAAATCCAGCTGCTGCTGCGACTTCTCTTGATTCTGCCGTCTCGAATGTATCTGTTAGTACGGGTTCGGCGACGTCGTTCTTGCGTCTTCGCTTGCTATCTCCTTGGTTATCGGACGCGGCATCTTCAGCATCGTCTTCCTCTGGCGATGTAGGCGCAATGTCCGTCATGTCGACTTCTGGCACGGAAGGAGCAGATACAGCAGTGGTAGATCCATTTTTCATGCCACCGTCGGCCTTCCGCTTCTTGCTCTTCTTCTTGGATTTATGTGATTTCGCGACCGAAGAAGGTTGAGGTTCCGACCTAACCTTGCTAGCGGGCTGGTCCTCGAAAACGTCGAAGAGGTCGTCCATTGTGAACGGGTACTGGATCGTCACTCAATGATGGTGCAATCAATCGCGAGAATTGAGAGAAGCGCTCGTTAAGTTTTATAGTGCCAAGTTTCCCGACAAATTCAAAGGAAGCCTTGTGCTTCCAACCAGTATTAGGATTAAATAATGTCCCAAACTGTGAAGAGTTGATGGGTGCTTTTGCAAAAGAGAACGTGAACTTTTCTGGAGATGGCAGCAGCAGAAAAAAATTGGGTCGTGGCAGAAAAATCAAGCAAGGAGTGGGACAGCAGAAATGATCGAAGAGAAAGGCAGGCGGTCAAGTGGGGGACCTGCCTTCAGTGCAGTTGTGTACCTAAGGTACCTATGTGGTACCTAACGGCAGCTGCAGCTAGGTTACACGATTGTTGCACGGTCCGAAGATTAACCGTGCTTCGGGTCAGGGCCGCAGCTATCATCGTTCGATGATTCCAAGTTTTAATCAAATGCTCGAAGCTTTGTAGTACATAAAAGAAACCTTCTCCCCACTCCTCAAAACCGACGCAATCTCTATAGTCAAGGTAAATTATAAACTACCAACCACACGGACGAATCTCTAGAAAGCTAATTGATACGCCCAGATGGTCGCCCAACCCGCCGTCCGCGCCGCCCCGCGCATCACCTCAATGATCACCCGCCGGGCCTTCCACGCAACCCGCGCCCGTCTCTCCTCTCCGTACCACTACCCCGAGGGCCCCTACTCGAACTTGCCCTTCAACCCCAAGACCCGATTCTTCGCTCTGCGATACTGGGGCTACATGTTCACCGGCTTCTTCGCGCCCGTCGGCATTGCCGGTGCGTTATTTCCTTTCGCCCGCCTGCTTAGACGGTCATGATATCATATACTGACGTGTGCAATATAGTCTGGCAAACCAAGAAGCCCAAGGCTTAAGTTATGGCGATTGGTTGAGAATAAAGTTACGGGGGGCAGGTCGAGATGGAGTATCGCTTAGGCGGGGACGGCAAGGAGCACGATGCAAGTTGTACATATACTTGACAATAGACATTGAGGCCATCGCCGAGTACAATCTCATATGTTTCAGTCAACTTGACGTTGTTAAGCCATGCTGTTCAGTGTGTTTGAAACTCAGTATCAACAGGTTAACTTAACTTAAATTTATCATCTGATCCCAGAACTACATGAACCATCGTTAAGGAAGTTGTCAAAATTTATAGACTATACATGAGTGGCTAAGCTAAGTGCGATCCCTTGCTCGTTTTCTCATTAGATTTCGGCTATAAAGACGTTTGCATATTCTTATGGAGTGTGTTTTTTCAGTTGATATTCAGATCGTAACATCTTAAGTATTTACAGGCAAGTCTATTTTTATCATAATATGTACATATAAGTGGTATCATTGATCCGCAGCCATCGCCCCTACCCATTATTTTACACCTATATATGTCCCGTTTTGATTCCTCATGTCAAAATGACATGCCTCTGGATTGTACAACGAAATTGTCTTGTTGCATGATCCTTTTTAGGAAGTCTATCATGAATTGCGAATTTGCTGTGTCCAGATCCCATCTAGACCTCAGACTTTCGTATATATCCAACATCTGATCTCGAGTTGAAAATCTGGAGAAGGCCCTCAAAACAGCCATAGCCATCCATGTACTGATGTAAAACCCCTCAGTCCCAGAGTCAAGGGCGTCCAAGAAAGCGTTCCATACACTAACTAACCTCTCCGCTGACCAATCCGATCCGGCACTCCCGTGCCTACCGAATGCCTTGAAAATTGCAAGGAATATAGCGCCGTGCAGTTCAACTTCGAAAAGTTTCATCTCATCGAGGAACTGTGCGACTTTAGAGAGATCCCCTAATCTCGGGCCATAGTAGTTGATAAGGAGGCGGTAGGTTTGCAGGTCCGGCGAGATCAGTGCGGTTTTCTGAAAATTCGGACGCATGTCAGGATGCTTTTTTGCTACCCTCGCAAACATCATAAGCACCTTGGTAATATTCTTCTGTATCGAGTAGTTACGATTTGGCAGCACCTTGGTTCCTCGAGCCGACAGTTTCATTTTTTCGTAGACCTTTCCAGCAGAATCTTCTTCCCCAGCTGTCAGAAATCCAGATATGACACTATTGAGTACGATTGAGTCGATTACTTCACCCGACTCCACCATCTCTTTATAGGCTGCTCTCATCCCGCCGGTGTCCTGTTTAAGACCAAAGTAGTGAATCAGACTGACATGATGATATCGGTTGAACTGAAAACCGCGGGTCATCATTTCCTGGTATATCATCTCGGCGAGAGTAAATTTACCAGCTTTCGATGCAACGTCGAAGAGGATGTTGAAAGTCACATCAGAGGCGCGAATACCTGCGGTCTGCTCCATCTCACGCCAGAGATGGAGCGCAGCCTCAACCTCTACTTCTGTTGATCTTCCGACATACCGACTAGCAAATGACATGGCGGTATTCCATTCAAATCTAGTTAGGGGGAAGCCGCTGTTCTTTACGTCTGTCACCACAGAAAAATATCGCAACATAGACTTGGAGTTTTTCCGTTCAGTCATTCCTAGGACCGCAAGCAACTGATGCCTCAACCGAGCCGTAATATGAGATGTACGGGGCTCAGGAAGCGACAAGTACCGGTCATATACCTCATCTAAGTCTATCGTTGCCGGGCGCCTAAGTTTAAGAAGTACAACCTCTCGTAGCTTTCGAACTACCTCAGATTCTTCGGGATCTAGTCTTTGCCTGGGGTCAACAGATTGTAGGTTGACATCTTCACTTCTATCCGAGACCGTAAGATATGGGCCGTCTGCGGGAGCATATCTTCGTAGGTAAGGGTCCCTCAAGAACTCAAGGTGCTCATTTATAGAGGTATCGTCGTACTGGTCAACAATTTCAAGTAGCTCAGGTCTGGGCGTAACTCCTTGCGACGGAGGAGGAGTATCGCCTGTGCCTCTGGACGCATGATTCCATTTGCGGCTACAATGGAAATTCGAGCTGAAATAGCCAGGACTTGAAGGCCGATGGCCCGGTGTTGTTATCGCCGAGTTGATGTATCTTGCAGATGTAAAGGTGCAGGATGTCTTAAGCTTCTTCCTAGGTCGTACCGAGGAGGGGCGGCCGGGGATAGCAAGTAAACCCTCGCAACTAGCTTTCCTATGCCCATCACGTATTTTCGTGGTATATAATGAGGGCACCGAGCTTAAGCTTGGCGAGGGTCGACGGGAGAGTATCGCGCCGTAAATCGACCCGTAAATTCGAATAAAGATTCTCATGAGCTGTCCTGCATGTTGGTCTAGTCATCACTCTATGGACTCGACAACATAGACGTGACGGTGACGTAGAGAATTTAAGAAATTTTTGTGATTCCAACTTTTCTAGATGATGGCGGGCCGGCGGACTTGGGGTCGCGTTATCGCAGCATTAAAGAAAAATGCCACTGATAAGAAGTGCAGGGTTTCTAGCTTCCTGCAGTACATGATGGATTTTGTAGATAGGTACTTCCTTCGGGACTAAGCTAGTAGTGTCAAAAGTACTCCACGTCTCTCTCCTATTATTTTAATGTGATATGATAGCTGCAGGTACATAAGCTAGCTTCTGGAATATGTACATGTACATAAGAAACTACAAGCGACACCTAGGAAAATCGATTATCCCCGCCAATCGAGGTCCACCTAAGCACTTGATTATGCGACTTTCGAAACCAATTTTCTAAACTTCCATCATCTAAACCATCTCTGAACAATTGGATTCGACTGTCCTATACCCCCGACGCAGCACCAATTGCCCGGGTCTCGCCCTGTTCTATACGGTATAAGGGAGGATAGGGGTATTGACTTCCGTGTAATGCGCCATGGGTGGTCAAAGACAGATCTTGCCCGGTAGGGTCTACCAGACAGTCACGACGTTGATGAACCATCGCATTTTCCCAGGGGTTCAGGTTCAGCAGCCGGTATGGTACAAGGTGGTCGAGTCGATACCCCCCTCCGAAATGCTCACGAGGCCATTTCCACCTCAACACACTCAACACAAGAAGCAGAACCCCAAGGTACGAAAACCAAGCAGGTTATTCCAACCGCAAGAATTGGTATACGAAGAGGACGAGCTACGGAGGACCTTTTACAAAGATCACCCCTGGGAACTAGCAAGGCCGAGGATGATAATTGAAATGGACGGAAGAGATGCGCAGAGATATGACTGGTCTAAGGGATTAATACAGCCGGGTATGCCCTTGTGCGGCGAATGGTAAGCGTCCTGTACTTGCGCATTACGAAGTCGGATAGAATATAGGTTAACGATCCCTACAGTGTTGTTCAACGACAGTTATGGATGATGCACAACGTCCCAGGCATAACAAAAGATCAAGCATACGACACAGTGCGGAGGGAGTTTTACGCATTGCGACAGCAAGAGGAGGTCGAGCGCAGGATAGCCAAGGAAGAGGCTCAGATGGTGGGCGCATATTTCGGCAAGTCCTACTTACAAGTAGGTATAGAACTCGAAGATAGAGAGTATGAGCAATGGAAGAAGTGGGCTGGCAAGCAGATCGAAGCAGTCAAGGCGGAGCGTGATTCGGCCTACACAAGCTTCGGGGAGGAAGTTGACCCCGATAATATCGACGTAGACGAGCTCGCGGCAGAAACAGAGGAGGCTGTTCCAGTACAGAAGAAATAGGCCCAGCAGAATGCCTCAATTATTAAATGTACCACAACTGTACGAATCCTACATATATATCACCACTAAGCCCCCTTTAGCCGACTTCACGACTTCCCGAGTCAGTGAATGGGGTAATTACATTACAAGTCCTATGATCCTCCATGAATGATGCTCGCCGAAATTAATAATGGGTATCTTTTTTGCACTTTTGCTTTACGACTCCTCGGGTATCGAATTCTCCAACTGTTCTATCCGAAGAAAGTAGGTTTGCCTCTATGTCAAGTGTATCAGTAAACGGCTGTATGGTTGGTCGGTTTGAGACTTACAATTGCTCTCAACTTTTGTCGGTCTTCCTCATTGGACGCTCTATTAACGAGCTGTGATAGAAGAGCACATGCTTCTTGATAGTACTTTCGAGCGAAAGCATGTGATTGGGTATTGTCGAGTTGAACGGCGGTATTTGCCTTGGCTAACGCCGTAGCTAGCATTGCCTTCGACGACGGCATCTCAGTAAAGTGTTTGTAGTATTCTTTTTATTTTATTTTATCTTTTAGAGGAAGAAGCTGTTGATGATATTTATATAAAAAAGATGAAACCTATTGGGTGCCAGTATCACAATTATGAGAGGAGATGGGACGATGATCTAATACAAGGGGGTGCGGGTACATGCATATCGCTTAACTCGGCTCGCTCTTTAATGCTTCAATATAATCTCTGATACATAACTCACGTTACACTCGAATCATACTATACTTGTAGCAAGATAATTGCCTATGTACTTAATTTAACAGGAACTCTCCTTACCTTAGAGTTCTGCGGTCGGTTCTCGGGAAGATATTATTGACAAGGTCCACCAATAAGTCCCACGAGCCAAACCCCAGAACAATGGCCAGTGAGGCTAAAGGGAGGACTTACCTCTCCTTGCTCCAAGCGTGTGATAAGTGAGTATCCTAGTAATAATATATTGTATTATATCTAATACTCTTGAAGCTTCCCATACGACATTGTGCCCTCGGACACATACTACCTGCTGTTACTACCCAATGATGATCAACCACATGGGTATCTACTTCCAGAGATCGTCCAAAAAATGCCATGGACGTCTCACTTCCAAGTCAATCACAGCACGCCGCGGACCGTCTCAGTGCTAGATTCCTCTAATGGGAAAGACACAGCCAGCGCAGTCAATGCGGCGTTCTCGGAGCTAATCAATATCTGCATCGAGCAGAACCTCTTCCACATTTTAGATGGCAAACACAGCGAACCGTTCGCCATCGTGAGCGCAAAATACCCCGTTCACATGGAGCGCTTCGCTGCCGCGCTGTTTGGTATTACTAGCCGGGGCGCATATATCACGGCGTACACCAAAACCCCCGAGGGAGAGATCAAACTCTGGATCGGCCGTCGTGCGGCTCATTTATACACTAGTCCGGGAATGCTAGACGGGACCGTAGCAGGTGGCATCAAAGCAGGTTCCAGCCCCCTCGAAACTATCATCCACGAAGCCGACGAGGAAGCCTCCCTTCCGGAGAAACTAGTGCGTGAGCGTGTGCGCTCGGTCGGAGTCCTGACGTACATAACCGCAACTGGCCCTGACTTTCCCGGTGAAAAGGGGCTTGTCATTCCGGACATCATATACGTCCACGACCTCGAGCTTCCCAGCGATGTCGTTCCAAAGCCAAATGATGATGAGGTCGAAACGTTCTACTCAATGACTGTTGAGGAAGTGCAGAGGGGCCTGCTAAATGGGGAGTTCAAACCTGATTCGGCGGCTGTGCTTATTAACTTCTTTATTAGACATGGTGTTATTACTGCGGATAATGAGAAGGATTTTGTTGAGTTGAGTATGCGGTTACATCGTAGACTGCCTTTTAGGACGCCTTGATGCTGGGATGAAGGTATTATGTGATTTGTAATGATGGACTAGAGAGGTGGTTGAGGGAGGTTAAAAATAGAATGAGATGGTCATCACGATCAGCTCTGGGGTAACTTAGGGGGTTTTTATGGGTAAATAAGGCGCCTATGCGGAAGATGGGCTGGCATTAGAGGGTTGTATTACTTAAGGAGGCCACTGCTGCTTCATAGCTGTTAATACTTAAACGTGAGGGGGTCTACCCGAGCTCTAGAGGTATTAATGAGAGAAAAATATACGATTCAAAGGAGTAATATCAAGCATATCAATGTAGTAACCTTAGGATGGACTGCTAAGCACGAAATGGGCAGGAAAATTACCAAAATTGAATTGCGATTCCTAGTACCTCCGGTCATGATCATCGGCAGTCCTAAGCCGGCATATAAATGCCATTATGGATCGTGCCCTTTTTTTATATGAAATTTGATGCAATAGTAAAGCGTTCCTTAGCCAGCAGTGAAAATGCAACGATTCCAGTCCTTAATCAACACTAATTTGATTTTCCTTCCATACGAAATTTCCCCCCCTGCTCAATGAAATGCAACTGTTCCTTCGATCGTCGTGGACTCTTTGGTCTACACGAGACTGCAATTTGAATAGAAAAAAAATCTTTCATCCATGCTACCGCAGCCGGAGAAAGCTCTTATGCTTTATCGTAGTGAACTCGAGATTGCCTAGATGGAATTAATAGTTAGCAAGGGAAGTATGTATTGATATAGTGACGTCGTGTTATAACATACCTTATGTGGCCGCGGCGGAATTACTCCGTAGGCACGCTAGGGATAGTCGGCATCACGACCATGTTGCCAGTATAAGTCTGGCGGGGATTGCGTCGACGAAGCGGGCGATGCTGTATAACAAACACATCGGCCAACTGGAGGTGCTTGATCAACGTGCCCGAGAAGCTCAAGGAGTTAACTCGAGCCCAGCTCTCGACAAACACGCACTTCATCGAGTCTTCATGTACGAGACCGAAGAACTTCATCAGGTAGACGCATACGATAAACACTAAGCCGGTACCGGGGCCGTCCGTCACGACCACGCCGGGCATCTTAAACTCGGTGATGGTGGGGTTGGGGGCCGGGGTGGTTAGGATGTCAAAGACGTCGTTGGTGCAGTCATACACGGTGAAGGGAGTCGTCCACCAGCTCTGGTGCACGGCGCGGCTGCGGTGGAAGAACATGATGTCGTAGGTGCCGGCGCGCAAGTTGCGCGAGGTGAAGCGGCTGTTCAGGCGGCGCTCGAAGTCCATGACCCTCTTGTAGCTTAGGTCATCACCATATCCAACAGCCCAGCGGCGGTGCGAGTGCGGGCCTTCAGATCGGATGCTGCGCTCGACCATCTTGATCATCTCGGTGGTGTGGCCACCGGAGCCGCAGACAAGGAGGACATAGAACGGCATCTCAGTAGTCTTCTTGCGCGGCCATAGTTTCTTAGGGTCCTTGCGATGAGCGACGATGCTACGGTGACGGTGCTATTTCTACGTTAGCGGATAGAGAGCAAAGTATTTGGGATTAGCACTTACCGGGACGTAGAAGAGGATGAAGGTCAGGATGGATACAACGAGAAACATCATGAGAACCTTGAGGGAAATGACCGAGAGAACTGCGCAGATGGCGACGTAAATGCGAGTGATGCCGTAAGAGAAGATAAATACGAGGGTCTGCAGGAGAGGGCGGATGAAATCGAAAGTGTTGCGGACGGGCGGGCGGAGAACGATGTCATGAAGAGCTTCCATGTTGAGGATGGACTGTTGGTGCTCTTGATTTAATGAATTAGAAGTGTTAGTGTTAGATAGGATAGTAGGGTCATCAACTGTAAGTGAGGGGGGCTCCTCGACTGTTGGGGAAGGAGTGCGCGGAGGAGTTAGATTGTTGTGGTTGTTCGAAAGTTGAGAATTAGTAGTAGTGGAAGTGCCTGTGGAGAAAGCACCTCCCCCATTGTAAGGGTTACCTGTTGCCCCAGACGCCATATTGTGTTTTGCGGCTGGTTGTGTTTATGCCGAGAAGTAGCCTTGTCGGGGTCCTCGTCGACGATGTGGTCTTGTGTGGCTTTAGTAGTGCTAACAAGCCGCAGTGCCGGCGCCCCGGCTCAGACCTATAGTCCGGCGGAGGTGCTGCTACGGGACGGAGGTGCCGTCTTGTTTACTATCGGCCCGGGGAAAGCTTACGGCTCGGACGGAGCAGCACACGGGTTCCTATCGGCGACGGCAGTACTAATAGGCTAACAGTATCCTTGCCGGAGTTAACCCCTTGGACTAGAGTAGACGCCAACTGTTGTCTGGATAATATATAGCTTTTATGCCAGAGAAAAGAACAACAGAGGTCTTATAACTGTGAGAACCGGGCACTCCCCCTTTAGTGGGCCTTATTACGTTAACGTATATAAATGTTTAGCTGGCCTCGAAGTTATTAGTCCTAAGATAACATGTTAGTTGATATTTGTAAAAAGAAGTTTAATGTAAAAGACGAACGGTGTATTGGGATGTAGGCGTAAGTTATGATGCATTAATGGGACAGTTATAATAGCCTGTAATATCAAGCCAGTCGTAAACTCTTAAGTCTGTTATGTGTGTGCGACAGAATATTTGTGCTGATTTATTGTTTTTGAATTTGCGCCACCCGTAAGAGAAAGCCTATTAGTAAATTTGCGGTAATGTATTCCCTAGAAGTTTTTGGTGTCTGTGGGAGTGAGGTGCCTTGAAAATGTGATAATTAAACCAGGTTTATACCTATATTGTTGGCTGAGGTTGCGATTTGTTACAATAACTTTTATTTTTGGTGGTTACCGAAGTGGTGATCCTTTGTTAAGTACGGCGTGAGCGGTCGGTGGCAGTAATTGCAGGCACGGCAGTGCACGTGGCAGCTGGGATACCGCCCGGGTGCAGGATCTAAACGTCCTCCGGAGAACTTGACGAAATCACTTCTGAACTACTGGTGCCTCCGTGATTCTCTAGAAAACAATTGTTTGGTCTTTATCCCTTTGTCAGACCTTTTACTGACCTAAGGATTGCGCACCACTTCTTGTTAGTCCTAGAGGCGTCCAGAATTGTCGCGTCAAGTTTGTGAGTTGATGAATTGTAGAATAGGTGTTTGAAAGATGTAGACGGTACCTTACATTAGCACGAACTGTGGATCGTCTTAGGGTCTAGATGAGATCTATTTTAGTATTACGTACTACGTCACTAGGTAGCGGCGCAAGGCGTACAAGGTACTGCGATAACGCGTTACTACGGTAGTTGCCGATATTGATTTTGATTGGGAGCAGGGGTAACGCCTTATCGCGTCGCAACCCTTGGGCAAAAACACGCTTAGGCAGACAATTATCCGCTATAACGCGAAAAGAAAAAAAGTTAAAGCATCACCTCGGCTTTTTTTCATATTTATCGAACTTCCTAGTATCCACAACCAAAACAACCCGCTTATCCTTAATTACCCATTTTCCCTTCTACTACTACAGCTTGTGGCTTTGTAAACATGGCGACCTTGCGGTCGAGGAAGTTTCTGAGTTGCTTCTATTGTGGCAAAAGGTCTAGATTACGATTCGAAGGCCAGAAATCATTCCTCTGTCTGAACTGTGATGCGACAAATTGGTTAGACGAAGTAGGTACATCGGGTTCTCGAGGCCACGTCGAGATACAAATAACATCTTTGCGCATGGCTAATCAGATGGTAGTATGGAAGTATCACCGATCCTCCTACGTCGTCCTCCGTCGAGCGCCCCCAAGTCCAGTTCGCTATTCCTCGTTCATCAGTACCCCGCTCGCCAACGCGATCAATATCGCCGAATGGCGTAGGCTCTGAGGATTCAATATTTTGCGGTACATGCTTAAGGAACCAACATATGCTCACGAGTTCGCTTGCGCAATTCGAGTGGCCGGACGACCATAACAGTGCCGAATATGCCGTTCGAGAGAAGAGATATTGGGCCCTTCGAAGGGATCTTGAAAAAAGATACCCTCAGATGTGTGCTGTTTGTGAACCCAAGGTAGAGAAGAAGCTGCACGAAGCAAGCTATACAGCGCAAACCGACCACCTACGCCGAATGATGGACCGTACGCGGTCGAGTCGACAGGAAGTAAAGAGGCGAGGAATTCTAGACGCAGTTAACTGGGCGGGGAGATGGGCATGGAATCTTGGCTTCGCACTCCAGTTCATATGGCATATTGCTATGCTTTGGTCTCTTGTCATAGGACTATACGGTCTAAGCGGAACAGATTCGTGGATGGCTAGAATTCTGAAGGGCGTACATCAGTACGGCAATGATCGATTACCTCGCACAGATCAACTCATGCAGTGGGCGATTGGTCTCGGAATATGCTCACTTCCGTGGAATCCGCGCTTTAAGCAGACGATACGGGGCTTCACGACGCATTATCTTGGATTTAAGCATTGGTACACGTACCAGTTTCTTATATTATTGGTACGATATGCCGGCCTCTCGATGTCACAGTACAGCTCCTCGGAAGGGCTACAGATACCGGCCCAACTAGGCGCACAACTCGCCATAGCTTTATTGATGACCTTTGTAAGTATAGGTGAACGTTTACATGTGGACTTGCACTAAGACAAAGTCTAGATCTATCACGCGTCGCGGAAGTCTATTCATACAGATACGACACCTCTTTTCCAGCCTCGTCAGAAGATAAATAATTCGCAAAAGTCCCCAGTTGCGTCAAAATCGCATAGAGATCAAAACGACCTTGGGAGCATACTAGATGAAATATCCCAATCACGTGTTGAGCCTACACCATATTCTCCCCAGAGTCCGAACACCTATCAGACAACCGCAGATAATGTACCCTTCGGTAGCTCTTTTAGTAGATCGCACGAAAACGGGGTTTCTGGGCCATCTTTTAGTTCTATGCGTTTATCCGACCCTGTCATAGTCAAAAAGCCGGAGCCCAAGACAGTTCACTACGAGGAAGAAATGGATTGGACGCCGTCCGCTTCACAGCACCGAGCGTTCAGCTCATACAATCCGTATAAGGTGAAGAACACCAACCCACGCTTTAGCGATATCCCCATAGAGGCCAAATCTGGGCCCATCTGGTACAAGGTACCTCCAGCGCCTACTACTCCCGCACAGAAGCTACGCAACCCTCCTATGCGCCCGATTATTAGAGAAAGCCCAAAGGAGGCAAAGGAGAACTTCTTCCAAAGCACAGCCAGGGGACCTCTGGACATGGGATCATCGAATCAAGGCAGCTTGTCAGATATCAAGTTTGCCGAACCGAAATTCTTTGCGCCGGAAGATAAAGACGATCCACGAGATAATCTCTCGAGGATGTTTGCGAGTTCGTTCAGCATTAGTCCAGATCCAGACGAAGAGAGGTATCGAAATCCTAGGCGTGCGGCTACAAATTCTGTCTTCGGTATTCGCCAGGGTGCGCATGGCACATCAGATAGACAAAACCACCGTGTCACGCGTTTCGTGGAGCTGTTTGTGCTCGCCGGGGCGCTCTACGCGTGGGTTTCAGCTTTGAAAACGGACGAACCTTATGGCCTTAGCCTCGCTCTAACTTCGATAATTGCTTGTCTTATCGTCTCTATTCGGCTTGCTGCCGATCTACAAGTTGATATCCAGCTTAGAGAAGGGAAACAGCCTCCAATGTTTTCTCTGTCGTGGGCGAATTTGGGGTTGGCGCAGGTAATATCGTCACTCATCCTTGCGTGGAGTATCTGGTCAGGAATTGGGACCAAATCTCCCTGGAGTACATATGGCAGTGCTCATATTGCAACTGTGTTCGTTCATCACATGGTGCATATCTTCTTATAGGCATGATAGCGGGCTTGGAGCTAAGAAATGTACCATATAAAAATGGGATTGCATGGTACAGGTTGGGAAGTTTGGATTGGTGGCATTATGATATGGCATGGCATAGCGTTCACACTTGTATTACGTAGAATAAAAGGTGGAATAACATGATTGCATAGGGCATAGTCAGGAGTTTTCGGTTTCCGCGGGCAGCTTAGGTATGTACATTAGGTACCTACGTAGGACTTTGAAAGAAGATACCCCGAGCATTATTCGGAGTCTTCAACAATGGGAGAGTAGGAGAAGAAGTACCTTGGTACTGAAATTGATCGATAAGATTTGACTTCCCGAGTTCCTGGTCCTTAACAGTTACACATATACATGCATGTACACGTCTTAATTTAGGTACCTGGGTACATGAGGTACTAACAACATTATGTACATAAGAATAATCATGAATTTTCTGAAATAAAAACAAGATACGTTCCCCCATGACTTAAATTGCATGGGGCTTTGAACTGTCAATAAACTCAAAGTCTAGCTGAAAATAGCAGACCTCGCATCGCTGGAACGTACTATGCAGTAGGGTATCATACGATAAGTGATAGGCGATAACGCCACTGTCAGGCTGTTAAGTTACTGCAAGAGTGACCGCGGAATGCTCGGTCAGGTTGTCAGACGAAGCTCATTTCCTCCGAACGCTAATCCTAAAGCTAAAAAAAACGATTGGACCCCCTAAAAATTCGTAGATCTTTAACCTAATACTTTATTACATCCGAGTCCCCTGACTTGGTTCTAACTCTTCCTTTTCGAATATCCTCGTTCGCTTTTCCGTTCCTTCGCAAGTCTTCCTTCTACGCGAGGATTTATTTATTCCTCCGAGTTGCTTCATTTCTTTATTCTCTAATAATTTGTCACTCCTTGAAACTAAGTTATAAACTTCGCACAAGCAAAAATGCCTGGTCGAACGCTGCCGACCCTCACGAAAGCTGAGGTTGAGTCGCACAACAGCGAGAGGTCTTGCTACGTCACAATCGGTACCAACGTTTACGATGTGACCGACTTCGTCGAATCCCACCCCGGTGGCCCCGACCTGATTCTCGAGTACGCTGGAAAAGATATCACTGCGATTCTAAAGGACGAAATTTCCCACAGGCACTCCGATTCAGCATACGAGATCTTGGAAGAGTATCAGACCGCCTTTTTGGTTACGGATAAGCTCGCGCCCAACGGAGATGTACAGAAGAAGATCGCCGACCCCCAGACCAATAACAAACTCTCCCCTTCTGTTCACCCGCGAACGGGAATGACCTGCGAGGAAGACCTGAGCAAGGATACAGACTACAGCACCGACTACAAGGAACACAAGTTCCTCGACTTGAATAAGCCCCTCTTGATGCAAGTATGGTTCGGTGGCTTCAGCAAGAGGTTCTATCTTGACCAGGTTCATCGACCAAGGCACTACAAGGGCGGTGCCTCCGCACCTCTGTTCGGAAACTTCCTCGAACCCCTCAGTCTGACCCCTTGGTGGCTTGTTCCTATGATTTGGCTTCCTGCGATTGCCTACGGCGTTTACCTAGCCTCTCAAGGATACGACAGCAACCTAGGATTGGCTACTAGCTTCGCTAGTGGTGTGCTCTTGTGGACTCTCATAGAATATGTTCTGCACCGATGTCTTTTCCATCTTGACGAGTATGTTCTACCACCCGGTATCCATTATAACCGTTTTTCTAACAAATATTACAGATATCTACCGGATAACAGAGTTGGAATCACGCTGCATTTTCTACTTCATGGTGTACATCACTACCTCCCGATGGACAAGTACCGTCTAGTGATGCCCCCGACGCTCTTTGTGGTACTCGCAACCCCCTTCTGGAAGCTTGCGCACTCAATATTCTTTTGGGATTGGTACCTCGCCACAGCTGTCTACTGCGGCGGTATCTTCGGATATGTCTGCTACGATCTGACTCACTACTTCCTGCACCACCAAAACCTCCCTCTCTGGTACAAGGACCTCAAGAAGTACCACCTTGCTCATCACTTCCTAGACTACGAACTGGGCTTCGGCGTAACCAGCCGATTCTGGGATCGGGTGTTCGGCACCGAGCTAGTCACCGTGGTTAAGACGGCCTAGGTCTTGACCGGTGCTTCATAAGAGACCCATTCTGCATACATGGGCATGGCGATATGTATTGAATGGGCATAATGTGAAAATGGAACTGGGGAGTGAGATTCTAGGCATAAGATCGGCAGATTTTGGCGTTTGGTACCTAGTATGATCCGGAAGTATGGAAATATTCAGCTTAATCCGCACTCGACTCATACCTCTAATAATTAATGATTTGTTTAAAGTAATTGGTTCCTAGGTTCCTAAGTAGCTTGCTTAAAAGAAATGACGGAGAAATATACCCCTTATTAACCGCAGGTACTTCGTATAATTCCTGGAATGATTTAAGATGACATGTAAAATATTGCATTAAATGCTATGTTTCACAAGTTGGGTTTGCCTCACTTATTACATAAATTCCAATTGGCCCCTACCTCATCAACAATCCCTCTTAAGTAAGCACGTGCACGGACATGATTATGGGCCTAGGTACCTTGTCACAGTCATGGTATTTTTTCCCGGAAAGACCGACATGTCAGCTTTTTCTGCAGGCATCTTCTCCTACCCACCCCTCTCATCTTTCACTTTTCAAGTTTATGTCCACCTGGGACCCATAAGGTTCAATCTCGCCGACAGTTCGTAAGTACCTTTGTTATTTTAACAGTATTCCGTACTGCATACCAAAATTACCTATTCAACTTTTATCTCGCCGACAAAAGGAAATACTTGATTAGCAACCGTAATTACGCCAGAGGAAGTCGCCGATTCCTAAAGTTCTAGTCTTGCTCTGACCTATTAGAAGGTTTCATTCAAGATGGCCACCCTTGACGTCGAGGCTTTACTTGATGCTACTGCTAGCAACAAGAATGATACCAAGGAGACCGGATCTAAAGATTCCGATGATCGCGTAAAATCCGACCGAAACGAACGTAGAGACCGCGACCGCAGCCCTGGCCGAAGACGCGATCGTAGCACCGACCGCGGACGACGTGACCGGGGTGATGATAGGGAAGCTACACCTCGTAGCGACGCGGGTAGCCACAAAAGTAGGCGCAAAAGTCGGAGCCGTGATGATGACCGTCGACACTCACGTCGTCACAGAGGAGGCGACGGAGATTACTACCGCAGCGGCGGACGCGGCCGGGACCGCACTCGCTCGCGATCTCCTCGTCGGCACTACCGCCCAAGGGACGACCATCGCGACCGTGATCGTGAGCGTGATGAACGCGGTAACTTTCGAGGCAGGGATGAAGATAGACCTAGAGGAGGTCGTACGCCGAAGCGTGATCCGACTCCCCAACTAACCGAGGACGAGCGAGATCGCCGTACCGTATTTGTCCAGCAGCTAGCTGCTCGTCTTCGCACTAAGGAGCTGAAAGAGTTCTTCGAGAAAGTTGGTCCCGTCAACGAGGCCCAGATCGTTAAAGACCGTATAAGCGGCAGGTCTAAAGGGTCAGTGTCCATACCCAGACATGGTTATCCAACCCCCATTTTGCTAACGACCATTATAGTGTTGGCTACGTTGAATTTAAAAACGAAGAATCCGTTACTGCTGCTCTTCAGCTCACAGGTCACCAACTCCTAGGTATCCCAGTCATCGTCCAGCTTACCGAGGCTGAGAAGAATCGCCAAGTTCGTAGCACCGAAGGCTCAGGCTCTCACGCCAATTCAATCCCCTTCCATCGACTCTACGTAGGCAATATTCACTTTAGTATTACTGAACAAGACTTGCAAAACGTCTTCGAACCCTTCGGCGAGCTCGAATTTGTCCAGCTTCAAAAAGATGATACAGGTCGTAGCCGTGGTTATGGATTTGTACAGTACGTTTTCGGATACTTGTTTCGAATGGCGAACTTTACTAACCCAAATTTGTTAGGTTCCGTGAAGCTGACCAGGCTCGTGAGGCGCTTGAGAAGATGAATGGGTTTGATCTTGCTGGTCGTCCAATCCGTGTTGGTCTTGGTAATGATAAGTTTACCCCCGAATCAACTGCCAATATCCTACAAAGGTTCCAGGGTCAAAACCAACCATACCAGGGATCCGCATTCTCCGGTGCTGGTGGACGAGGACCTCAAGCTTCTGGATTCGACCGAGCAGGAGGTCGTGACAACGACAAGGCGACGGGCGCAAGCGCCCTAGATGACACTGATGTTGCGGGAGTCAATTTTAACAACTATAGTCGCGATGCCTTAATGAGAAAGCTTGCCCGAACCGACGATGCTTCCAACGGAAGTCGTGATGAGAGACAGATTCTCAAGCCCAAGACAGAGACTAAGCCGCTCCCCATGAATGTCAACATGGCCAGTCGCTGTGTTGTTCTTCACAACATGTTTGATCCAGCTGAGTATGTCCTCTCCACTTTAAGATGTTGTATTATACCGATACTAACTAGCAGCTACAGAGAAGAAGGTGAAAATTGGATTAAGGAATTGGAGGATGACGTTCGACAGGAAGCCGAAGAGAAATATGGTCACGTAGTCCATATTTCCCTCGATCCGAACTCGCCGGGCGATATCTTCCTCAAATTCGACAAGGTTCAAGGAGGCGAGAACGCCATTAAGGGGCTCAACGGTCGTTATTTTGGTGGACGGATGATCAGCGCTGCGCCTGTTGTGGACGCCGTCTACAGCAGTTTGTTCTCTCGTACCAAGGCTATTTAAGATGCTAATCGTTGGTCGGGCCTCTCCCGTTCTAGGAACTTTTCCCCGTAAGTCTCAAACGTTGCCATATTCTAAAATGTCTTGTACTAATTCGAAGAGAATAGATTCCGTCCTCACTACCATTTCTTTACACGGACGTCGGCCAAGACCGCATTTCGTTGCATTCGCCTGTCAATTTGGTAAACGACATTCAGCGCAGCATATTTTCCAAGATCAAACGACATACTCTCCCAGTCGTACCATAAAATCCATACTTTTCGCGCTGATTTTACAATAGAAGCCCCCTTTTCAAAGGAACATGCATCCTCGTACGTCAGCTCTTGTCTGCTGACGTTGGTGTCAAGCCGAACGCTATTTCCGACCATTATCGCCGAGCCAGAGAATGTTCGTTGGCCTGCAGGCCATAGGACCAAGCTAGGTATTTAGGCGTTGGTAGTACTAAAGCATTTGATTTTAGATTATGATAATTATCTGTTGTTTCGGTGATATTGGTATGGAAACTCCCGGAAGATTGTGATCATGTCAGCTCTGACGCCACCTGTAGATTCCTCGTGGCATTCTCCGCACCGCTGAGTGCGTTTTAGTCCTCCATCTAGGTCGACTCCCGTTTGTGTCACAGAAGACACCAGAAGCTGATTCGTTGCAGTTTTCTTGGTAACAGGTAATAATATGCCCCGTTGATTATTCGTTGTAGGTATGACCTGCGTACCTATTTATGCAGGTAACTTGCTCTAAACCGTTGTACGAGTCAGGATGTTTACATTCTAAGCAGTTAGGTACTTGTAATACAACCCTTTGCGGGTGGCCAGTGTCACGCAGTAACACGAGAACAGAATCATTTATCCCAATCAAGGACGGACACAGCCGAGAGGCTGAACGAACGCTCGAGAACCATTTCTCATTAAATTTGTAACGATGGCCGCCTCATAATCGTTGTATCCGACCCATGAAGGTTAACGTACTAACTCTCTAGACCGTAGATCCTTCATCAATTTTACGCGCTTTGCTTCGACGGTCAGGTATACCAGGGTGCATAAGACACTAACTGCTACACATCAGATTCTTTCTACTCGCTATATTTATATCTTGACGGAGAATATCGCGACACATTTAAGGAACGAGACTTATTTTACCAATAAAAGCCTAACGGTTGGTATTATTTGTAGGAATATTCGACGTTGTTTATATACCGACAATAAAGGGTATAAGTCGAGTGGGAAACTTTTCGTTAATATATATTAATTAAAAATATATATAAAAAGGTTTTTTAAAAGTAAACCATATTACAACGGTATTTTTATATGTTTGGTTTATTTTATATATTTTATTATTATTATTAAAAATATTTATAATTAAAATTAAAATACATAAAAATCATTTTAACTTTAATAACGTGATTTAATTTTTTTAATATTTTAATAACATAATTATGTTTAATGTGGTTAATTGTATTTAACATGACCGTTTTAAAATATTTTAATAATAAAATATATATGTTTTTTTTTATAAATTAAAAAAAAACATACACGTATAATACGGTTTTAAATACGGTTTTAAATACGGTTTTAAAAATGTTTGTTTTTAAAAATTAATGTATTATAATTTTCGGGTAACATAACATATAATAAAATTTAAGTTTAATATTATAAATTAACGTTGTTTTTTAAATATTTATTTATATTAAAATTTATTTTAAATGATTTTAAACTTAAATTTTATAGAAACGGGTTACGTTTGTTTATGCCACGTAATGTATGGCTTGTGTAATTATATTTATAAGTTATAAATAAAACGTTTTACAAATTTAAGTTTAAAGTTACTTTAAACCCGTAAAAAACATTTAACATAAAATTGTTAATAAAAAATAAAAAATAATATTTTTAACGATTTAATAAACCACAATAACGTATAAAATAACTTTTATTATAATAATTTAATTTTAATGTTAATTTTTTTTTATTTTTTTAACTTTTTTTTATATTTATATAACGTTACGTTATTATATATTAAGTTTTAACGTTAAAAAAACATTTAACATAAAAATGGTAAAAAATTAACATAATTAATAAATTAATTAACAATATAATTAATATTATATATAAATATAAAATGTTTTTTATTATAATTAATTTAATAATATTATTATTTAAACTTTTTTTTTTATATACCCGTATAGTTTTAAATACCATGTTTTAATGCGTGTTATAACACGTGTTACGATTAATGCGTTATAACCGATACGTTATAACCGATATAACCGATATAACCGATGTTACGGCAAATGTTATAATTAATTTTAATTTAAAATACATATATTTAATTAATAAACTTAATAATAAAATTAATAATAATTATATAATTAATTTATTATTTATTATAAAAACGCGTTAATATTATTGTTTTAAAAATTATTTTAATAATTTTTTATATTATAAATTTAATTTTTAAAAAAACAGGTTTTAAAAAAACTTTAAACCAAAGATTTAATATTGTTTTAAAAGATTATAATTAATTAAAAAATAATGTGGTTAAAAAGGTATAACTTTTTAAATTAATTTAAATTTTTAATTTAAAATTATTTAAAATAAATTAAAACGGGCTTTTTTCCCATGATTATATAATATAATAACTTTTTTTTTAATTAATTTTAATTTTTTTATA